AATGTGCAGGTTTCTCCATCAACCTAAGTTATCGATTCAGGTGTTAGTTCGAGCACAATGGCAAAGTTCCACAACATGGAACAAACTGAGGTATTCTAAAAGAGTCAATTAGAGTGTAAATGAAGCTTACATAATCTCTCAAATAGGGTCAAATAGCTTTAAAGGTACATAAACCTCTCAAATAGAGTGAATTGTTACAAGAAGATCTCATGATTCACATCTTGTTCGTATTGCATACGTCTCGATATTTAAGACTGGCGGATGATAAGGGAAATTGAGATATTTTCTCCACCAAAGTCCTTGTGGAGCATTCTCATTTCCTACAAGCTTCTTAGAATTTTGAAGTAGACTTCCATTCCCCACTTAGGTCCCCAGCTATTTCTTGCTTGCCAAAACCTAGGCCCGTATCCACAAATATTAACAAAATAGAACCCGAATCTATAGCCAATCTCCTTCAAAAATACCTTTCATATTTTCCATAATGTTAGCATTTCTTCTTCTGGCATTCATGCACTTTTGCATGGTCATAAATGCCAGAACAAGAAATGCAAATTTTATGAAAACTATGTAAGGTATTTTTGTGGGAGATGCGGTTATGGATTCAGGTTCTCTTTTGTTAATATTTGTGGATACAGGCCCCGGTTTTGGAATGCAAGAAATAGTTGGGGACTAATTGGGGAATGGAAGGTACTTCAAAATTCTAAGCAGCATAGTAGAAAATGAGAATCCTCCAAAAGGACTTTCGGAGAGAAAATACCTCATTTTCCCTTATCATCCGTCCTACGGAGTCTTAAATATCGAGCCGTATGCAATACAACCTACCTATGGGACCCATTGCTCCCATTGCCATCACGTGGCATAATGAAATGTATGTGGATGTGTTAGTAGATGTGAATCTTGAGATTTTCTTCTGACTTTTAACTCTAGTTGAGAGCTTTATGTACCTTTAACTCTAATTGACTCTTTTAGATTACTTCAATTTTTGTTCCATGTTGTGGCCTTTTGTGGACTGTTCTTTCTACTGTTGTGCAGGATCCACCAGCTGAATCAATAACTTAGGTTCATGGGGAGCAAAAGTATAGAGATTTGCTCTTGCTGTAAGCTTTTTGCTTTTTTTTGTTGGGTTTACTACTTTCCCAGGAGCATTTGCTGTTCTTACTTTGAAAGAATGAATGATCCTATGTACAACAAACTAAAAAATGCAGAAGCTCGACAATAAATATTACCATTCGAATGACATGGTCTTATACGTCCGTATGTGTGTTTGTGTGTCTGTGTTCTTAGCTAAAGCAGCCACAATAGTGCACCAACTTGGATGATTACATTAGAGTGAGACTAACTAATATCCTAATCCATGCAGAGAGATTGAGGGAACGTTACCCAAAAATTTTTGGATTACCCTGTGAGTTTGACACAGGCATGCAGCGTGCAGAGTGTTTAGCTTATGGAGGATAGCTAGTTTATTCTTTGGATCAATCATATAAAATGTAGCTAATCATCAGAATATATCTATTCAAGATGCGTCTTGAATGGATATTTATCATCAAGTTCTCGAAACGCTACCCAAATAATGAGAGGAGCAAAGCTTTCGGAAGATACCCCATTGAGAGCATTCTTGGTACCAGAGACCTCCCATTACTGTGTTTGACTGTTGGGGATAAGGAAGGTTGTCACCACGCACTACGATAAGTATATCAGAATCTGGAAATTCGACTAAGACGGCCACTCTATTTTTGCTAGGATATGCATGATAGTCATGATAATGTTCATGTACAGAGTTTATTTATGGTTCTTGTACGAACTACAACAAATTCTTGATGTCGAAATACAAACCCTTTTCCATCTATTCCTCGAGAAAAATAGTCGGTCGAGTTTATTGACGATTCCAAAACTGAACTGGGACGAGAAACAATCAAAACTACAAATTGCAGATGACGAATTGAAAATGAATGTCAGATTTAAGAATTTGATCTTGGAGAGTTGGTATTCATATTTCTATGTTTTTGAGAATTTCGCCGATTTCCCTATTGAGGCTTTTTTTTTTTTTTTGGTCAAAAGTACTTCCTATTACAAAAAAACTTTACAACTTGACAAGGCCCAAAACCAACATATTGACATCCAAAAAAGGGCCACAACAGAGCAACACATCACAGAAACTAAGATACAATTAGGCTCAAAAAGCAAAACATGAACACCAATCCTAGAAACTTCTACTGTCTCCTTCGCCGCCAGAGGTTGTCCCAAGCCGTCAAATTCCTCTTTCACAGTCAAGCAATACCTCATCAAATGCCACATCAAACTCCAATTTGCTACCTGAGCATAGCCATACAGTAAGGATAGCCAGCAACCAAACAATTGAAGCCAACTGACGAGATGAAGTCCATGGAGATCCACGAACAACACTGCCGATAAAGACAGATAACAATGAGAAGGTGGTGGTGCTGGACACACTCAAGCCAGTGAAGCCATTGGAACTCTACACACAATCTCAGTAGGTTGTATGGTTGAAGATCGGAATATGGATGAACACATAGGATAGATACTGTCTTGGAAAGAGAAACCGAACATATCAGTATAACAACCAAGCCTAAAAAACAGTAGAAGTAAGGAAAACATATAAGAAGGAAAGAGAGGGGAGGACAGTGACTGACCCTGACCAAAGCTAGGGTCGACGCCACTAGTTTTACTGAAATTTGGAGGCCTTACACGAACGGGTGAAAAAATTCTCAAAAAGAGAGAACGACTCTAACTAGAGAGAGAAATCTACTATCCCCTATTGAGCCTTTAAACCACTGCGAATTTCACTAGAACTTTAACCAATTTCTCACATGAACTATTATAAGCAATCGTATATGTTCTAATTTTCTGTCCAAAAAAATCACATGCCGATTACAATATTATTTGTTGTTATTTTCTCTTTCTTTAATGTGACAGTTTTAATGCAAATTTAGATCAATTACGGGGAAAATAAAAATTCAAAGGTTAAAGTGGTAGTGGAGTTCAATTTAAGGAGAAAAATCAACGAAACACTCTCTCTTGTTTTTTTTTTTTTTTTTTTTTTTTTTTTTTTTTTTTTAAGTATAGACTTTAAGCCCTTGTTGAAATTCATCAAGATCATGACTCAGCCCATTTCTACCATTATTGCCATCATTATTATCAAGCACGAATTTATAGTCTTTTTTTTTTTAACATTTTGAATACTGGTACTAGACTTATTTTTTAGGTTCTCAATCTAAAAGATTATTCTCGGATTACCGGGTTATCAAACCATAAAAAATGAAAATAAATTTGTTTTGTTGCTTTTATTTTACAAAATAGTTATTTAAAAATCATTATGTAAAACATTACTGGACGGTTTACCACTTAGTAATACAGTCTAGTGATATTTATTTCTTCTTCACTTAAGTAAGATATTTTAGGTTCGATTCTCACCAAATACGAATTTGAATCATATTATTACTAGTTCAGTGTGAAATTAAGTTCATTTATTTTTCTTAGTATAGATAATTTCATTTCTGCAAAAAAATAAACATTACCGGACTCCCTTAGAGCATCCCCAGCGTGGGGTTTAGCTCGGGGGACGGGCTCCAAAACGGAGGCCCGAGTGAAGGTGGATCGGCTCCAGCGTTGGGAAGCCGGGGGGAAGGGGAAGGCCCGAGGGCCAAGCCCGTGAGGAATTGACAGGCCTTGAGCCTGGGGTGGGAGTGACGCCATGCTGACGCCAGGGTGGCGTCAGCCTATTATTTAATTTTTTTTGTGTCAGGCGCGTGCACCCCACCCGCGCGTGGGGGCGCGTCCTGACACTTTAATCAGAAAAAAAAAAATTTTGTCTGTTACCGTTGGGAAGCCACGTGGCTTCCCACGGTACGTTAGATCCTAACGGTCACTTAATGTGGACCGTTAGATCTCAACGGTAAAAAATTTTAAAACTGTCAGATTTAATATCCACCGTTCGATCTGAGATCAACGGTGGATATTAAAATGCTTTATAAATTAAAAAATAAATGAAAAAATAGTTTAAAAAATCTGAAAAGTTACCGTTGTGACACGTGGCACAATCTGGAGCGTTGGAATTCAAATTTTTTTATATCCAACGGCAGAGATTAATTAATTGAATAAAAATTCAAAAAAAAATGTAAAAAATTCAAAAAAAAATGTAAAAAATTCAAAAAAATTCAAAAAAAAATCTGAAAAAAATTGTAAAAAAAATTGTTTTTACTTTTCTATAAATACCTTCTCATTATCATCTACCTTCACAACAATTTCATATTTTCTCAACCACTTTCAATCACATTCCTTTCTTTGTCTCAAAGTTTGAATCCATTTTTTTTCAACAAAATGACCACTGGTGCAGGTACGAATTGGTCGCTTATTGAAGATGTTGCGTTGTGTACTAGCTGGGTTGAAGTTACTCATAGGTTCTGCATAATGCCACGTGGCATGCCGTCATTCGTTAAAAATCTGATGGAAATCTATCATCCAAGATTGTTAACAGATTATGACACGTGGCATGCCGTCATTCGTTTAAAATCTGATGGAAATCTATCCTCAAAGATTGTGAACCGATTATGACACGTGGCGCGACGTGATTGGTTAATAATCTTATCAGAAATCCATATTATAATTATTTATTTTGTATTATTTAATAATACTTAGGATAATGACACGTGGCGCACCGACAACGATTAAAAATCTTATTCGATATTACATTTAAAATTATTTTGTATTAATTTTATAAATAAAAAAAATACTAATATTTTATTGCCTATTGCCAGGGCTATAGAAGTGTAACGGTGGAGATGCAAAATCTATTGCCAGGGCTACTTACTGTTCATTAAGGGCAATTACTGTTCATTAGGTGGATTGAATAGTGAATTGCCAGGGGGAAGGGCTCCAACGCTGGAGTTGCTCTTAAGATCCTCCAAAATCCTAATAGGACTGCAATTTTTATATTTTTAAATTTGTTTGAAAAGTAAGGATGACTCGGTCCAAGCCGATCCCATGAAATGTCCCAGAACACCCCGACACTTCTTTTGATCTCATCGCTCTCTGTTTCTCTTCTTCCCCAAAATCAAAATTCCCACACCAAAACATCGATCCTATAAACTCCAGAAGCTCCCAAAATGGTGTGCATACGCAAGGCAACCATCAATGACCTCCTGGCGATGCAAGCCTGCAACCTCTTCTGCCTCCCTGAGAGCTACCAGATGAAGTACTACCTCCTCCACATCCTCTCATGGCCGCAGCTCCTCTACGTCGCCGAAGACTACAACGGCCGCATCGTCGGCTACGTCCTCACCAAGATGGAGGAGGAGAGCGACGAGTGCCACGGCCACATCACCTCCCTCGCCGTCCTTCGCACCCACCGCAAACTCGGCCTCGCCACCAAGCTCATGAGCGCCGCCCAGAACGCCATGGAACAGGTGTTCGCGGCGGAGTACGTGTCGCTTCACGTGAGGAAGAGCAATCGGGCGGCATGCAATTTGTACACGGGAACTTTAGGGTATAAGATTCATGATGTGGAGGCGAAGTACTATGCCGATGGGGAAGATGCTTATGATATGAGGAAGGAGCTCAGGGGGAAGAAGGTGCATGGACATAGTCATGGGCAACACCACCATCATCACCATCATGAAGGTGGGTGTTGCTCAGGGGAGGCGGTGAAACCAGAGAAGGCGGAGGCGAGGAAGGTCGAGAGAGGGAATGCTAAGGCGGAGGCCAAAGCGGTTTGAGAGTGAGAGGTAAATTGGGTTATTTGGGGGGCTTTCTGTTGTTTTACTTTATATATGGTTTTGATGCTTAGCGTTTGTATTGCAATTTGACAAATGCATATGAGGATTCGGAATAAGTTGTTGATGTTTAATACTTACTCTGCATTAAGTGATTTATGTTGTAATTTCATGTTTATTTTCTGTTCGTTGTGTCTACTCTCAGGTGGTTTTGTTTATGTCACCCAATATATTTTTGAGTCGTATGCAATAGTTTTTCTTGTAAATTGATGGAGGGTTGAATCATAATAGTCGTTATGGATTGATAAACGATCTATGTTCTCTCTTTGAGTTTGTTCCATTTGATGATGCGTACCACATGCTCTTAACATCTAGTACTGAATTCTATTCGAGGCCGAGGTTGCGTATAATACTGGAATAGAATAAGAAAAATAGCTTAGATTACTATTTTCTTGCTGGGCAAGTGAACAAACCCGCATTCCCACAATGCACTAAACCCGCATCTCGCCCTTTAGCCTTTGCCCTTAAGGGGGAACAGGTGCTGTTGTGCCCAAAGGTGATTTTGATGCTGGATTACAAACTACTCTTTTCAGTAGTGTGCATATGCACATATATATGTATGTATGTATTTAAGTAGTATTGGTGAAGTAACTACTTTTCTTGAGAGAAAAACATCTTTGCCATACGGGATACTAGCTATAATAATGAAATTGAAAAACGGTAATTTTTGAATTGTGAGATTGTGTCTGAAGTTAAATTGTTTGATGCTTAGCTATCCTTCTTTGTCTGGCTTTTCAGAAAGGGGGAGGGATGGATTTTTTTTCCAATTTTAGGCACTTGTTCTTTGAACATGAGTTGCTCCTGAGCAATGGTTTTAAATCAGAGCTTTGTATTTATGTTAAGTAGTTAATCACCTAAGTAATCTGGCCTGATGGTGGATTTCTTTGCTCACGGTGAAACTGATCGAGTAAAGTTTAGGATAAAGAAATGGCCACACATAGAATAGTAGTGTTGATAGAAAATCACTAAAAGCACATAATCTTTTATCTATGCACCGGAACAGAGCTCTAATATGTAATGCAGCTGGAAAAGAGTTCGATAAATACAGGAAGCTGCCCCCTACTGGCCGCCTCTGCCTTTGGCTTATGGGGCAGTGGCAACCCACCCTTATTCTCTACCCTATCTCGTCTTCTCGCCCTCTCAGTTCTCTCCCCCCTTCCCCCTCCCTCTCTTGTGGTATTTGCTCTTAGGCTCTTAGCTTCGTCTTTTTCTCACTGAGCTTTGTCTCAGATTTCCCACATGCTCGGGTCCTCTCTTTCCTCCCTGACTTCAATATCAACCAGTGGCTGCAGCTAGTGATCTAAAACAGGAAGAGTGAAGTATTTTTTTATTTTGGACCGTCAGATCGAATGAGTTAGAGAGGATTAAAGTATAGAAATTAACAAAATGGGTGTGGAAGATAGAAATTTTGATTGCAGTTGTTTGGAAGTGTTGGCACTTACAGTATATGAATATTCTAAACAACATATTTATGCGTTTTGAGCAATCCTCTCTATCCCAGAATTTTCATTGCAGGCATAAAGACTTTGTGTCTCAACCCATGTTCTCACTTAGTATTTGCTGGATCGACTGCTGGATATGCATTACGTTGGGACATCAGGTATGAAATATGACTTCAAATGCTAATTTAAGAATTTTAATTTGCCTGGTTAAACTAATAAGTACTTTGGCTTGATGAAAGTCTATGCTGTATCCGTTTCCATGTTGCACTTCGTTACAATTTCGAATACAAGGTTTACGTTAATTAACCTTTGTGTCCTTGTTTGGTCTGTCTTCACCGTTTTATTTTACTGTTTTGACAGTGACAGATGACGTAATAGAGTTGTATGTTAATTGACCCTGTTCTTCTGTTATATTGTATGATTCAGGACAATGAGATGTTTATGGGAGACACGAGTGAGTCCAAATAGGGTATACTCATTTGGTGGACGAGACGCTGTGCTGCGTTTTCTGAACCAGAACACAGGTGATGTAATTTGAAGATGAGTCTTGGATGGATATTTATCTTCAAGTCCTCGAAACACGAATGGGGCTGCCCAAAGAATGAGAGGAACAAGGCTTTCGGAAGATACCCCCATTGAGAGCACTCTTTAGTACCAGACGACCTTCCATTACGTGTTTGACTGTTCGGATGAGGAAGGTTATCACCGCGCACTATGTTAAGTACATCAGAATCTGGGGTAAGTATATCAGAATCTGGAAATTCGACCAAGACCGACCACCCTTTTGTTTTTTGTTAGGATATGTATGATATCCATGCTAATGTACATGTTCAGAGTTTATTTTATGGTTCTTGTACTATAAACTACAACAAATGCTTGATCATGAAATACAAACTTGTTTTCCATCCAGTCCTCGAGAAAAACAGGTCGAGTTTACTGATGTTTCCAAAACCGAACCGATTGACAAGAAACGATCGAAACTGGAAATTGCAGATGATGATGTATTGAAAAGGAATGTCGGATTGAAGAATTTTATCTTGGAGAGTCGGTATTCATGTTTCTATTTTTTAAGTATTTCGCCATCCCTATTGATCTTGTGAACCACTCTGAATTCCACCAGAACCTTAGCCAATTTCTCACAAAACAGTCACATGCCGGTTACAACATTACTTCTTGTTATTTTCCTTCCTTAAATGAAACAGTTTTAATGAAAGGTTAGATCAATTACGAGGAAAGTAAAATTCAAATGTAAAACTAGTAGTGTAGTACAAGATCAGGTTAAACATCGACGAATACTCTTTTTTTGTATTTAAGCTCATGTTAAAAATTAAAAAAAAAAAACGTTAGGCAGATCAACTTTTGAATTGATTAATGTTTGAACTTCTTTTTTAATGATTTATCAAAAACTTTAAGCCCATGTTTAAAGAAAAAGAGGTAATTGTCGATTTTTCCCTTAAACTTGTAAGGTGTTGTCAATTTTCTCCTTGAACTTTAATTTTAACTAATTACTCCCTTAAACTATTATAATTAGCCGAAATCCCCCATACTGTTAGATTTTCTAATTTTCTGTCAAATATTCCATCAATCTCTGTCAACGCTAGAAAATTCTACGGGGCATAAAAGTAATTTGGCCACTCACAAAAGCCAAACTGACTGAGAGAAAGCATCAGGGTTAACCATTTGGCAAAAGAGGTGTAACTGTTGAATGCAAAGTTTCTGGAAATGGGCGTTGGGCACGATCTTCTGGTCCTTCTCGAAATTCTACAAGAAGTCGATGGGGGAGTTTGAAGCTAGAAGGCGACGACAGATGCCGAGGGACCATGGAATTGGAATTAGGGTCACATCGAAGTGACGTGACGTAGCTGGCAGTGGGGATGAGGGGTTTCTAGAGTTTTGGAGGGATGAGGGTGTGTGGGGATGGGGGGTTTCTAGAGTTTTGGAGGGATGAGGGTGTGAAGGCGTCAATGGTGAAGACGTCATGGGGTCCGGGAGTGGAAGTGGCATTGGGTTTGAGGGATGCGGGAGTTTGTGGGAAATAGGGGGAAAGAGGTGGGTAAAAGTTGAAATTGATAGGTGTTGGTGGGGTGGTTGCAGAGAAAATAAGCATGGGGTGGTGGGTAGGTTGGGTTTTGGGTGTTAATTGGTGGAAGTAGATTTTTGGAGGTGGTTTTGGGAGAGAGATTGAGGTCTAGAGACATGGGGTGGAAAGAATTGGAAATAAGATTTAACTGTCGAATTCAGTGGGGAATTTTGCAGGAGTGGCATTTCTTATTGCTTTGTGTGTAATCTGTTGTGAACTTTGGAAAGAGAAGCATCGAAAATGAAAGAGCTCGTAAGATATTTGGAGGAGGAGCAGGAGGAGGAGGTTGTGGTGAGTTGAGTTGAGCGAGTCAGTTTGCCTATAAAAAGACGTTTTTGTTCAGGATGGACGGAATATCAAATGAAAAATTGGGAAATCTAACCGCATGGGGAATTTGGCTAATTATAAGAATTCAGGAGGGTAATCGGCTAAAATTAAAGTTCAAGGGGAAAATTGGCAACGCCTTACAAGTTCGGGGGGAAATCGACAAATAAGCCTAAAGAAAAATGTTAGGCAAACAAACTTTTTAGATCGATTGATGTAACACGCAACAGCTTTCGTGCGAGTTCTTAATCCGTTGCTTTGTTGCTTTCGAGTTTGAACTTCTTTGTTAATGATTTATTAGTCATTACATCATGTGGTTTATTGAAGATGGTTTAAAAATTTGGTCTCTCGCATCACCCATGTTTAAATTCATCAAACCCAAGACTCAGCCCACCTCTGCCACCATTGTCGTCGTTACTACCAAACACAAATTTGTAGCATTTTTTTTTAACATTTTAGATATTGGTATCAGACGGGTTTTCTATGTTATCATTCTGAAAAATCATTACCGGATTAAACTACCAGATGCATTTTTAAATCATAAATGTGAATATCGTTTTATCTTGTTCAGTTTTACAAAATAGTTGTTTTAAAAGAAAATTTGTAATACGTTACTGGAATCCTCCATAATTTTAATTTCACTTCAACTTATATTTGTTTGAAAAGTGTAGACTTAAGCCCATATAAGCCCATGACTCGGCCGAAACCCAATCCCATGGAAAATTCCAGAACACCCCCACATTGCTTTTGACCTCAAATACTCTCTGTTTCTCTTCCTCCCCAAAACCAAAATTCCTAGCCCAAAACCCTAACCCTCGAAACTCCAGAAGCTCCAAAAATGGTGTGCATACGAAAGGCCACCATCGACGACCTCCTGGCGATGCAAGCCTGCAACCTCTTCTGCCTCCCTGAGAACTACCAGATGAAGTACTACCTCTACCACATCCTCTCATGGCCGCAGCTCCTATACGTCGCCGAAGACTACAACGGCCGCATCGTCGGCTACGTCCTCGCCAAGATGGAGGAGGAGAGCAACGAGTGCCACGGCCACATCACCTCCCTCGCCGTCCTCCGCACCCACCGCAAACTCGGCCTCGCCACCAAGCTCATGAGCGCCGCCCAGAACGCCATGGAACAGGTGTTCGCGGCGGAGTACGTGTCGCTTCACGTGAGGAAGAGCAATCGGGCGGCGTTCAATTTGTACACGGGGACTTTGGGGTATAAGATTCATGATGTGGAGGCGAAGTACTATGCCGATGGGGAAGATGCGTATGATATGAGGAAGGAGCTCAAGGGGAAGAAGGTGCATGGACATAGTCATGGGCATGGGCATGGTCATGGTCATGGTCATGGGCATGGGCATGGCATGGGCATCACCACCATCATCACCATCATGAAGGTGGGTGTTGCTCAGGGGAGGCAGCGAAACCAGAAAAGGCGGAGGCGAAGAAGGTCGATAGAGGGAATGCTAAGGCGGAGGCCAAAGCGGTATGAGAGTGAGAGAGGTAAATTGGGTTATTTGGGGACAGTGTATTTTCGATTGTTTTACTTTATCTATGGTTTTGATGCTTAGTTTTTGTACCTGCAATTTGACAAATACATTTGAGGATTCGGAACTTTCGTAGTTTTTGTTATAAGTTGTTGATGTTGATGTTTAATACTTACTCTGAATTGAGTGATTTAAGTTGTGATTTGTTTATTTTCTATTCGTAGTGTCTACCGTTTGGCAATTTTGTTTTTGTCACTCAATTTATTTTTGAGTCGTATATAAATAGTTTTTCTCGTAATTTGATGGAATGCTGAATCACAATAGCATTTCTCATAAGTAGCAAGTTAACAAACCACAGTCCCACACTGCACTAAACCCGCATCTCACCCTTTAGCCTAGTCCACATCTCGCCCTTTAGCCTAGCCCTTAAGGTGGAACAGGTGCTATTGTGCCCAAAGTGACTTTGGTACTGGATTACGAACTACTCTTTTCTGTAGTTTGCATATGTACATATATACATACATCTATATATATTATGTTCTTGAGAGAAACACATCCGTGCCATACAAGGTCCGAGTTTTAATATTGAAAATGATAAACAGTAGTATTTTAATTGTGAGATTGTGTCTGAAGTTAAATTGTTTGATGATTAGCTATCCTTCTTTGCCTGGCTTTTCAGAAAGGGCGAGGAATGGAATTTTTTTTCTATTTTGGGCATTTGTTCTTTAAACATGAGTTGCTGTTGAGCAATGTTTTAAATCAGAGCTTAGTCTTTACGTTAAGTAGTTAATCACCTAAGTATCTGCCCTGATGGTGGATTTCTTTCCGCACCGTGAGGTGTCGATTGACTAAACTGCTCCAGTAAAGTTTAGCATAAAGAAATGGCCACATATAGAATAATAGGGTTGACGGAAAATCACTAAAGCAAGTAAGCTTGTATCCATGCACAGAACAAAGCTCTGATATGTAATGCAGCAGGCAAAGAGTTCGAATAGAAAATAGGATCTTATTCAACTGACATCCTGAACTGAGCACCCACGCAATAAGAAGTTCCTACTAAAATTTTTTACACCAGTTAGGGCTCCGTTCAAGTTTTTGTGGCCGTGCTAAAATATCTAGTTTGTTTCTGGAAAGAGGGAACAGTGCAGAAAACATGTGTTGTAGTGTGAAAAGTCAGCCTTGGCACCGATGTAAGTTGAGGTTAACTTCTCTTGGCTGTTAATTTTGGATATAATGATATAGCTATTGTACTTCCTTCATGTAGGACTATTGGTTTCTTTCTTTCTGTCTACCTTTTTCTTTTGTTATTAAACTACCGTCAGGAAGTAAACGTTGTGAGAGGACATAACTCTCGCCCTATGAGAAAAATACAAGAAGCGACCCCCTACTGGCTGGCCCCTGCCTTTGGTTTAGGGGATGGTGGCAACCCACCCTTATTCTCTACCCTATCTCGTCTTCTCGCCCACTCACTTCTCTTTCTCTCCCCCTCTTAGGTGGTTGTTTTGCTTTTAGGCTCTTAGCTTTGTCTCAGATCTCCCATGTGCTCGGGTCCTCTCCTTTCTCCCTCACTCCAACATCAATCAATGGCTGCAGCTACTGATCATAAACACGAGTTGTCACATATATGTCGGGAGGTATGTAGAGTTTTGGCTTAGGTGCTCGCACTACCTCCTTGTCTATGTCAGTTCTGTCGGTAGTTGGCTGCTTGTTTCCCATTGCTTTTCTCTGATTTGTTGGGTAATCTCTCAGGTTTGATTTTGGATTTGATAAGTGTGAAGTGGGTCGACCTGGAATGGTTTCTTCGGAGGATATTTTTGCAATTTCAGGCCTTTGGTTTCGTTGATTTCGGGCTTTTAGTTGGTGAGAACGCTCATTACCTCCTCATAGGAAGAGTGAAGTATTCAGTTCCCAGCATGTTTTAGCGTAGTATATTTTGATTCGAAGCTTGCTATATTTTGATTATATTTGTATGTAAACTTTCCATCTTCCAGTCACAAATCTTGAAGATCTAACAGTGGGAACTCAAATTTGTTTGAATTTTTGGTTGAAATGTGTGTAGGTATTGGAAGTAGAAGATTAAAATAAAATATATATGTATATAGTTTTGGTTCGAACCTTAAACCGGCATAAATCGAACGAAATTTGCGTAAACTGAACCGGACAGATTTATTAATAAATTTAAGTGGAATCACATTAAACTTAACTGTTGATATTTTCTAGTTCCGATTCAAGGGCGGAACCGGGCTGAATTGGACCGTGCCCCACCCCTACTTATTGAGGACTAGTGGAGTTTGTCATAGCTTACTCAACAAAGTTGGGCAATGATGATATTTATGCACTGGACTTGAGGATGAGTGTTATCATTAAACTATTTTAGTTTAATTGATTCAAGCCACGAATTTCGAAATTTAAACTAGGGTGTTTAGAGGACTAAGCAAAACTTTCTGTTTTTGAAGTACATCCGCACGAATGAGGATCCTCACGCGTACCTGACTACAACTGGCCGTATAATATACAATTAACGGATGTGATTGAAAGATTTCTACTGATTGTCACGTCGGATTCTCTCTCCATCTGTACAGTACCAATGCCACATTAATATTAAATTTAATATAGTTATTATTGTTGGCATGCTGGGAATAGTCTGAGCGCTAATTAATATATGATTAAGAAGTGCGCATTATGCCAACGTTGGTAGCTGTCATATTCTTCAACCGGACAATTTTTTTTAAAGATAATGTTAGAAAGATTAAATTTTATAAATTAAATGACGTGGCTGTTGATAATTAGATTATTACTTAAGTGTTCATTAACATGTTTATTTTCTATTAATAACACATCATTTAGTTTACCAATTTAGTTTAAAATTTTAGTATCGCTAGCATTACTCTTTTTTAGGCCTCAAGTCGAGGCAATGGAATTAGGATGCAGCTCTAAACAAACAAGAAGAATGCTAGCAAGACCTGCTCATTTACGTAGCAAAAAGCAAAATACTTTCATGAAGGAAGGATATGGATAATTTTGAAATAGGTGGGTGAGTGTGATCACTACATTTTATGGTATAAATCCTTCTAATAGTATAATGTCACACGTGTTATATATTAAGTTTTTTTTATTCCTAATCAAACCCTTTACTTTTAAAAAAAACTAACGAAAAGTCTAAAAAAACTTCATTTTTAATGAAAAACATTTTTTAAAGGTACAATGAATAATACCAGAAAAATGTATAAATGTGGTTTTTCGTTAAAAATGAACAGTACCCTTACTTTTATGATTGAAATAAAAATATAAAGAGCAAAGGTTAGATGGATGGCACCTACCCTTACCCTACCCTACAAGCAAACAAAGGAGGGATTGTCATGGAATATAATCTCTTATTCTTATCATCTACTTCTTGTCTTACTAGACTATGGAACAATATGAGCAAATTTTCGACGATGTTTAAGTTTATGTCAAGTTTTATGTTAGCGTAATGACGTGGCACATGATTTAGCGCATTTTATGCCTTGGCGTTGGATCGAAGAGGCAAAGGGGAGTGTGTGTTGGTTTGGGGTGGGTGGGTGTGCGTTGTGGATCAAAGTTGGGTCAAGGGGGGGCTGAAGTCGTTCGAATGGGAGAGGCGGTGAAGGAGACGAACGTTGGGGGCTGATTTCATAATTCATGTGGCACCATATTAACAAAGATGTATGGAAGATAAAAATAAATGTGTGAATATTGAATAGCACTATCCAATTCAATCATGGTTTTGGTGCTCTCCCTTGAGTGCTTGCCACCATAACAAGGCAATAGTGAGTGTTTTAATTGGTTCTTTCTCAAAAAAGTAAAGTTTCCTCTAATGAAAGCACAAGTGAGAAACAAAGGGAAGGAAACTATCATGTTTTTTTTATAAGATCCAATCATTTGATGTTTGCTCTCTTTTTGGTTAAAGCCACATGTTTACGCATACTTCAATCACTTGTTTTCGTTTGTTTGAAATCGAAACACAATGGAGAGAAGATTCTCAGCCGATGCTTAACCAACCATACATTTCAAAAGTAATCAAAGGTATAACTTCTTCAAAAATATTATCAAACTTAATACAAAAATGACCATACTTTTGTCTTAAATTTGCAAAACCGTTTGTTGGACAGAGGGTGATTTACTAATTGTTTAATAAACAAGGGCTACTTCTTTGGGTAGTTCATCGGCTCGATTCTCATGTGAGAGAGATTCTTCTTTAGGTATTATAACATTTAATGTACCAAATCGTATTTTTATCATACTAAAAAATTTCCTCTCATGCAAGCATGGAAAAGAAATAAGAAATTGATAAAAATACTATAGGATCAAAAAGTTAGATAAATTCTTGAAGAAAACCCTAAAGAGGATTTCTTTAAGAAGGTACCGTTCACACATCTCGATCTCTTTGAGGATATACCATTCACACCTCTTTTTACTTTCTACAAATTCTGTTCAGTTCTGTCTTTTGATTTTTTTTAATTCATTAAATCCGAGATCAAAAATTAAAAAATGTATAAAAAGTAAAAAAAGTGTGAGTAGCACCATCCTTTTATAGGATCCAACCAACCTAGGGCAGTATGTGCATTAGTTTAATAAAGATAAACCCTAAGATTTAGTATTTTTTTACCATAAAAGATGAGAAACTCGAGAAAATATCTTCAAAAATTAAGTAGATTGCAGAGAATTAAATAATGAATAATTACAGAAAAAAATAGTGGTGGGTGAAGCATATTCAGCAACACATGTTACATGCCAAAAGTATATACCATACAAAATGGACAGCACGAAGAGACATTTTTCTTTTAGCCCCTTGTTTAATGGAATCTCAGTAAGTGGGCTCTCCATGTTCCTTCCAACAGTACTTCCAATAATGGTTCAACTCTCTCGTTCAAAATTATCTTCATCGTCACCACCACCGCCGTTGCCACCGCCACTATATCACTCTTGTAGCAGTTGCAGGAAATTTGTAACTTGAGCTCATTTGGCCGATTCCTCGAGTCCGAGTTTCCGGAAAATAAATGTATGAGCTAGTTATATGAAGTGTTCCTCTATTCGTATGTACGGAGGCCTCATTGTTACGTGACAGACCTCGCGTACATGTTTCAAGAGGAAGGTTCTATATAACTCACACGTAAAACTTCATCCGAACTGTATCCGATGCCCTCATAGTGTCGTACCATTGGAGAAATCGGGGCTCTAATTATGTTGGGGGAGTACTATCCTCCACACTTATACGCGAGAGAGTGTATGGTGGCCGGTGCTGCACTCCGACAAGGAGTGAGGGGACTTGAGGAGTTAATGACAGAGTGACTAACCATGCTTTACCTTGCTGCAAACCGGCGGGGGACTCGAGGTGTGGGAACGGCTGCATCTCGACCGGAATTCATCAAAGCGAGGCGATCCTTGATTGTGTTGTCGAACAATCTGTTGTCTGGATTCTCTGCGTAGCAAACTAAGTAACTACCAACACAAGCATGTGGTAGTGCCATGGCTATCCTCGTCTGAACAAGCATAAAATTAATAGATATTGGTTAGGTTAATATGGTATTTGATTAACTAAAGCAACAAAGATTAAAGAACTAACAAGTTGATCACATGGTTCATATGCATCAAATGAATATAGAGTGAAAAGAAACTGGTCAAAAGGGGGCCACCAACCATAAGGTATCCAATGAAGAATGTAAGGAGGGAAATGGTGGCTGTGAAACTTTGGTGCACTCTAGCGGTCCAAGCCGCCACAACTATGACACAGATAGAGCCACTGCAGACGCCCGTGAGGAAGCAGATTGAGCTCGTAATGTCGGAATCAACAATTTGTTCCATTTCTTGCTGTTCAAAGAGCTCCCAAGTGTCTTGTGACGCCCTCACGAAGCCCTTCCCATAGGCTGCTATCTGTAGCAATTGGTTTAATTAAAATAATTAAGTTTAACTTATAATTTAGTGTTTAAACAGTGACCACGGATGGAGTTCATATACAATTTAGAGACTTGCAATTGAAAATTAGGATTTGGATAGTGACTGCAGCGTAAGTAATTCAAAAATATGGGGAGATCACAAGATATAGTAACTTAATAACCAACTTGAGAAAGATTTCCTAGATAAACCAAAACAATCTTTCAGAAAACTAGATAGCCAATCATGATCTTACTTGACATTCACGAACGACTTCAAATTTATATTTTTCTCATAGCAAGGAGGACCTTTTGGAAATAACTCATTTCGAGATGATTTCATCGACACAAGTAGCAGACAAAGTTAGCTTAGCTGTCACCATAATTTGTTATCCGAATTATTCAAACACGATATACAAACAGCAGTACAGTCATATTGTGTTATTGAAATATTGATCAGCTGCCGAAATTAGTATACTTTGCTGTGCAAAATAATGCTTTTCTTGTTGAGAAAGAAGCTGGAACGAAAGTTATAGTTCTTTGTTCTGTAACTTGTATTTTGTATGATATGCAAATGGAATCACAAAGGTCAATAGAAAATGGTTTATAAACGTACCTGTACGAAGGCCCAGCCGTTGCCATAGCGGAAGATGCCCTCCATGACTCTGAGACAGCAATGTGCACAAGAAAACATGAACTCATCTTCTCCCTCGAGTAAATTTAAACCCCGAGCAACAATTCTCAGGGCTTCAATTGCAGGAACAAAGAGAGATCCAAAACATGCGCTTCCAAGATTTTTACTCAAGGCTCTTTGGAAGCAAAACTGAGTATTAGATTGCATTCCTCTGAGATAATACAGAGAAATTACCCTACTGACGGTTATATTTGCAACGTTTCTCATTACTTCAGTTGTCCAAGCTAAGCTCAAGCCCAATAAAATTATGATCAATGGAGGAAAGTAGAAATTCAGGGCTCCAATCACAGCTAGAATCCACAGGGACATCCACAGAAATCCGACCCCAAGCATCCAATAAGTGGGTTGATTCAAATCGGGGAACTTTGATACTGGTTCGAGCGATTTGATCAATATCTTGCTACAAAATCCGATCCGCTGTGTGATCCAACAAGCATATAAGCCGTTGCCTATTGCAAAGGCAATAAAACAGACTCCAACGCCATTGGTGGGAGGCTTTTGGAAGCAAATTAGCAGAATTCCGGCAGATAGAGACATGAGAAAAGTGGTCCATAGTATGAAATGAACAAAAAACTTCGGCCATAGCCTCACTGCCTTTTGCCATGCAAATGCAAGAGTAATGCTTAAAAAAGATGCAGCTTCGACTTGTGGTAGAAAAAACTTCAACACTCGTTTCTCGGCTCTTTTAACCTTGTTGTCTGATGATTCTATCAGCCCCTGAACTCCCCGGAATACAAGAAAACCGACTAGCCCAAAGGCGGCAACCGTGTGAAAAAGAAACAGGAACAAACATATCTTGTTGGTGTATTTTCTGGAATTCAGTGTTGCGATGGATGGCGGCTGACCAAAAAATTGAGGGAAAACCCATCAAAATATCAGATTGCTAATTCAAAAATTCTCCCCAGAAAATCCATGCTCTACCAGATAAATAGCTTGTATCATTTCCTTTCCAAAATGATTAAAGATAAGATATCTAGAGAAAAAAAATTAATATGGTTCAAACTTCCAACAACAAAAATGAGATATCTTTGTTTAATCTTTCTTAAACATCACTTAAAAACTTTTATTTTTGTTTTAATGGGAAAGAAAAAAAAAAGAGAAGAAAAAGAAAACTTACTTGTGGGGTTGGTGTAGAACGAGGCTGAGAATGCTGGGGACTGTTAGTGCGAGAGGAGAACTGAGAAGGAGAAGGAGTAGCAGTAGCAGTAGCACCGCCACCACCGCCGCCACCGCCTCTGATATTAGAGATCCGAGACGGCGGCGGCGGCGGAGTTGCAGTTCTGGTTTTGCTATTTATTACAATTCTCAAAGGGTTTGTTGGATTCAGCCTCTGCAGCATTGACACGTGAACATCTCCTTCTCTCTCGTTCTGATTAATATTATTATTTCCATGATTAATATCAATATTTCTCTGAGCTCCCACCGCCTGTTCTTCAAAACCCACCTCCCCTCTCTCAACATCTCTCACCTCCTCCTCCTCCTGCTTCCTTCCAATTTCCTCTCTCTCCTCAAGCTCCTCTCTTTCTCTCGCCTCCACCTGCACGCCATGGCAAAGCTCAGACCTTTTGACATTAATTAAAATGAACAGAGCAAATTAACAGCAAAGAGAAAAATAAAAAAAATAAGGAATGAGAAATAAGAAAGATGGGTTGTGTTACAGGCTCTGCGGCACCCATGTCGACGGTGGTGACGTGGCGCGGGTGGCAGCTGATGTCGAAGTCCGCCGCGGCGGTGGTAGTGATGCTGTTGTCGGGAATATATGTTTGGTGTTTTGTTAGGTGTGTTTTGTACGTGTTTGTGTATTTATCTCTCGACAATCCATCTATCTATGTATCCATGGCGGTGCTGGTGGATGCTGATGTTTATCGGCTCCTTCTCTCTCTCTCTTTCAGCTTTTATTTCACAAACTTAATTACCTCAGAGTTTCTGAGGCGCGTGTGCCAATGACCAATTGGAGAGGAACTTTGTGGTACATGTCAGTTCATCGTGCGTCATGTTTGATAAAATAATTTATTTTGTTTATAGAAGAAAACTTTTTAATGTATCTGAAACACATCGTAGTAAATAGATTCTTTGGTGAATCAAATTCAAGGCGATACACTACTTATTGAGGTATTTTTAAAGAGAAACTTGAAGTAAAAGCATAGAGTAAAATATATAAATTATGTTTTTATTTATAATACATGATGTATTAATTTGTGCTTCGAATTTATTCTATCCTCGTAAATGATTTTAAGAAATGTTTTGCGGATGAGGAATTATTGGACGGATGAGATTAAATAATGGAAATGAGTAACGGTTGCATAAGAAGTTTTGACTTTTGTGTGGGAAAGGAGAGAGAGACGTATGCAAAAAGGAAACGAAACCCCACCTCATCGTCCTTTTTATGTATACTTTTGTGTATTTTGTTACACGAAATTCCAAGCCGTGCAAGCAATGACACGTCAAACTGTTAGTCTGTTGCTACATTTCTGTTACTTTTGAGAATTGTAATGGTTGATTACGTTTAGGGAATTTTAACAAAAAAATTTCGGTATTATATATTTTAATAAAAAATTATATTTTTATACTAAAAAGTTAATCCTAGTACTATATACTTTACCTTTTATTTTGTCCTTATCATTAAAACTCAAAGTTTTCAAGTCATTTTTATTAGTTTTCTTTAATTTTAATTCAATTAAGGTAAATTCTTTCAATTAAAAATTCATAATCATTGTTCGTTTAATTTTTCAAATAAAAGTTAAGGATTATTGTTTCAATGGAGTTCAAGTTTAATGATCATTTCTCTAATTAGGTTAAAGTTGAAAGATTATTACTATAATTTTTTCATTTAAATTTTCGTATCTTACCCTTGATTTAGTCTCATGTGTGGTACGTGACTCATTTGGTTTTCCATATTTGCTTCATTGTTACAATTTTCAAACTTCTCACTATTACTACATTTATGTCAGTTTTGAGAAACGTTACGTTATTTGACATCCATAAATTGCTTACGTTTACCAATGGAGATTGGGAACAAACAAGAAGCAAACAAAATATATTCAGTCCCCAAATTAAATTATGTCAAGATGATTTTATATGGTAGTTTTCAACATTTAAAAACAAAAGAAACCGAAATATTACTGATGTTAGTAATTCCTTATTATTATTAAGTTATTTTCTTTAGACAACAACTAAGGTTAGTAACGTTTGTGTTTGCTACTCGTGATTGTAATCTATCAACTCACAACGGTTGATTTTGTGTCACGTAATGATGGCTTTTATACATAAAACTAGCATAAAACTGGTTTGAGCCTATATTGTTATTTAAAACGTTCACATCCATAGTAAACACTTTTATTCGGACCTACAAAATTCTTTATTATTTGAAAATAATAAAAGCTATTTATTTTTAGAAAAATTAATAAAAAATACTTTAAAATTTTGAATTTTAACAAAAATAATAAAATAAAGCGTAAAATAAATAGTATTATGATTGATTTTTTAAAATAAAAATGTGATTTTTTGTTAAAATGATTTTTTAAAATAAAAAATAATTTTTTATTAAAATAAATTGAAAGATTTTCATTAAAATTCTCTTTATTTTTGAACGAATAGTACTTTATGAGCATGTTCAAATCATAATGAGTTACTGCATGCTTGGTTTGACCAGGACGACTAAAAATTGAGATAGTCAAAGTGGAATCCGAGAACTACTTGGACCAGAAACTCCACGTGGATGTGACAGACCACATGTGGGCCCTGTCTACTCTGGCTGTGAAAATGCAAACGTGGTTAATGTTAGTGGGCCTGGGCCATTAGATTGGATGACTCATATACACCTCAATTTCTCTTATCTGTCTGCGTCACTGTCATTGTGGCGTCAATTGTAGAAAATGACATGGATGACTCAGAGACACCTCAAATTTCTCTTATGTCTCCTATTTAGTTTTTTTAAAAGAGGTATCGGTCAAAATCCGTCTCAAATTTGTAACCGACCGTCAATTTACTTCTTGAACTTTATTTCTATCAATTCCTTTCCTAAATTTTTGTTTATGGTTAAATTCCCCCTTCCGCTTAAATTTCTCACCATTTATCCATAATTCATATTAAAAATAGAAATAAATTAATTATAAAAAAAATAAAAATAAAGAACATCTCTCTCGCACTTTCTCTCTTCTACCCGATTGTAACCCTTCCCACCCACCCCAAACCCCAAACCACCAGTCACCCCTAATCCCAGATGAAATTCATCCCCTGCCCCTTCCCTCAAATTCAACCCCAGTACCACCTCGCCACAACCCACACAATCCATAATCTTCAACAGCAGGTCCCAAATTCCCGATTCAAGCCGTGATCCCCCTTCCCCTTCTCCATGGGAACCCACCTACCGCCACACCAATAGCTCATTGTTGCCCTCTCTTTCTCTCTCTCCCCCCTGACTGTTTTCGAAACCCAACCATAACCTCTCGCAAGTCCCAGATGCTAATCCCTTCTTTTTGGTCGTACCCCAGATGCCAATTCAAAAAGGAAACAAAAATGATCCAAATGATGATTTTGACCTTCAAACTAACGGAACCATGGATGAAATGTGTGAGACTTACCAGAAGATGGAATTTGGTCATAAATAAAAGTTTAGGGGGTAATTGATAAAATTAAAGTTTAGGGGGAATTTCGACAAATAGGCCTTTTTAAAATACTGATAGAATTATTACATAATAACAACAAAAATCAAGCTTTATATTGAACTAAGTAGGGTCTGTTGTATGAATTTTAGAATATTACTTCGCCCAGTTTTGCACCTTATCTTGCGTTGGCTCTAATTACTCCATATATTTTCTTAAAGTCTCTTTCCGAATTTTCCTAGATCTTCCTCTACTCCTTTTACCCTAAACCTCCATCTCGTAGTCACATATTCTAACCGGAGTATCTGTAAGTCTTCAGTTCATATGTCTAAATCACCTTAATCAATTTTCTCTCATCCTAACTTCAATTGCGGGCACTCCTGCTTTACCTTGGATATGCTTATTCTTCATCCTATCATTTCTCAAGTGCCCGCACATCCAACGAAACATTCTCATCTCCATTACACTCAATTTTTGCACATGTTAATTTTTGACCCCTAAACATTCTGTGCCGTAAGGCATTGCTAATATTATTGCTATTCTGTAAAAATTTCCTTGAACTTTAGAGGCACACAACGATCGCATAATATATCCAATGCACTCTTCCACTTCACCCATCCAGTTTGTAAAAAGTTATATTGAATTTGTTCAAATTTTAGAGAGGAAAATTTTGAACTTAGGCGTAGAGAGTAAACTACCCTGTTCTACCCAAATTGACTAAACACAGATCTGCAATATTAACTTACAATTATTTAGATCCCATTAGATACCATGTTTCCCTCAAAGCAGTCTACACAATAGGAAATTTGAAATCGGACGCGTTGATCTAACCAACATAGCATTGTTAATGTTAGCTTCTCAATTTCAGGTATCAAAAGATTCAAACGAGGGGTCCTTAACAAGGCTAAATTAGATGAAACAGAATAAGCTGTATTGGAATTGATACAAACAAGTAACAGGTCACATTCCGAAACTTTAAGACCTAATCAAATGCTACAAACTAAATAACGAGAGCACAACATAACACCACAAAATTTTCAACGAGGGTTTGTTTCAAGTGTTTCCAGACAACCTATCACTCTCCGCTTCCATAGTTTCACAAGCTTTGGCAACTACTATTGCTTCGCATTGTTACCGGCGTCCTGAGGTGTTTTGACTATACTTAACTGGCCACCTTCCTTGTTTGCAGCGGTTGCCGCCTTCACCTCATTGCAGTGGTTTATGAACTTTGTTATCTCCTGAATTCATCAAATAAGAAAGTAACAAGGTAAGAAGCTAGAAGCAAGAAGGGATGTAAAGCAACTGGCAACAAGGAAATAGCAACCGATATCCATATAATGAAATTACTGAATTACCACCTAATAGAAAGGAATCCGGAGAATAATATAGGTTTCCGAATCCTATAAATCCAAAAACGGATGAATGCTGATGACGGAATCTAGGAGCACATCCAATAAAGTGTTACGATGAAAGAACTATTTAGATTAGTGAAGTTGAATAGAAGTTATTTACTTCAAAGGTTTATTTTTTGTACTAACAGGGATCTAACAAGGTGACGGGAACTATCAACTTCCCACACTATGACATATACAAATTTTCACAAACCTCATCTCCACGAACCTCAGATGACATATACAAATTTTCCGGTACTCGTTAACTATGAGAATAAATGGAAAACAAAAAAAAGGGTAATGCACAAATACTACTAACTTAAGAAACTATGTTACACAATACACATTAAAAGAAACCCCAAAATAGCACCAAGGTTGCTACAGAATATATCGATTAGCTACAGTCAGAATCATTTAAGATTTGCGGGCTGCATCATGAATAATGACAGTTTATAAACATGTGATCTAGCAAAAAGCAGACAATTGTAGTTGAGGAAAACAAAAACACAGAAGACCTCTTCCTATTTACTTCACACGTTCGACAAGAAATCCATAGTAGCATTGTAGAATAAAGTTGTGTTTTCAAAGCTATTCCGTACATTGGTGAAACATAAACTTACCCAAAAATAAGAAGGAAATGAAACAGAGCAAGCAAGGGGGCCAAAGGCCTGTTTGGGGTTTCTTCTATAGAAAGAAAGCACTTCTGCTAGAAGTGCTCCCAGAATAAGCATCTGGGAGGTGCTTCTCCATAAAGCGCTTCTATGAACCAGAAGCACTTCAAAGTTCAAATTTTTCTTCCAAACGCAACCAAAAGTGCTTTTGAAGCAAATCCCAAACAAAATCCTATGGAAATATCAGTGGAAGAGGATTTGATTTTTCCTGATATATGAACCGAATGAAAGACATAACCTTCTATCCTCAGAGAAAGAATTTCACTTAGAGCAACTCCCCAATCAAATGCCCCAACTAAATACTCTTAATTCAATCAACTTTACTGCATAATTACTACCATAAAATTCTTTAAAAAATAAAGAACAAATTAATGGAATTCAAATTAGTCAAAAACCAATTAAACAGAACATAAAAGCTCTCAATTTACAATTCTGTGAAATTAGCACAGAAATTGACAATTCTGGACTGAAATTAATCATAACCAATCAAATCAAATAATACAAAAGCATGAGAGAGAGAGAGAGAGAGAGAGAGAGAGAGAGAGAAGGGAAGAAACAAACCCGATCGGAATCCATGTCACCGGTGACCTTCGCAGGCTTAATTACTCGCTTGCCTTTGCGAATTTGAGTCATTTTTCCATGGCGGTTGGGAGGAATTGTCTTCCTCTTCTGCTGCCCTTTGAACAGCTTCCCTTTCTGCGTCATCTCTCTTCCGACTTCTCACTTCTCCATTCAGCGCTTCAGCCTTCTCTGTTCTTTTGGGACTAGGGTTTTGTTCAGGGTTTTAGGTTTAGGGTAATTCTCTCCGCTCCCAATGATATACTCAATTAACCCAGCAACCCCAATAAATTATCATATTCCCAGATATACCCTGTTATCGATATATCTAAATTACATTTTGCCAACCTAGTTTAAGCTTTTTTCAATTTTATCCTTTAATTTCGTTTTTTATATAATGAAATGTTGCACTGAGGATGAGAAAATAAATTAGTATAAAAGCATAATACTCGTCATCAACGAGATTCGAGTCTAAGACATTTCACTTATATATGAAGTAAAATACAAATTAAATGACAATTTTGTGCTCCTAGTTGGTAGTTATCTAATAGTCCAAGTAAACTTCAAAACCCACTGCTGGTGTGGAAGCTAGATTTGTGGTTAGGGAGAAACTAAAATGTCTTTGTGAATCTTCTCGGCTCTTGGAAGGGATGGATAACCGTGGCTTGCCACTAATTGTCCCTCATTTTTCCCCAAAAAAAAAAATAAAATCATCCAAGTAAACAATTATTTCTTTAATCTTTGGATTGCAAAAATTTCTTTCCTGAAAAAGAAATGTTACTTATCATTAATGATACACTTCTTAACTCGTATGTTGAAGATCTTGTATAAGTTCAATTGTCGCAAATAATAAGTTTGATACGAAAAAATTATGGTTAACCTATTGTGCGGTTTACCCAAAACCTTCTTTAGGATAATTCTAATTCATAATTTGACATTTTAGAAAACGAAAGTTGATTCTCAATTGTATGAGTTGAAGAATTGAGTAGGAAGTTACTTTTGTAAAAATCAATATCGTCGTATCTTGACCCTAACTCAATAGTCGGCTCTCCTTCACAACTTGAACTACCTCCAAGAGGTTCCGAGTAAACGATCATCGATACTTTGCTAGCTAGGATTGTCCCAGCAAATAAAGCATTTGGACTTTTCAATTCAAAGTAACGGGGAATTTTTTATTGTGATAGGAATACAGATGATATATCACGTGTTTTTATAGAAGTGGTGAAAAATTTTACTTTTTAAATTATTAACTTTTTAACACACGTATCTCACCATTTATTGACACGTCGTGTAACGATTACACTGAAAAATCTCTCCAAAGTAACCTCGTCACCACCAATCCATAACCCAGGGGTCTTCTGCAGACTATGCACACGTAATTCACTTCCCATGCAGCTTACTCCACGTGTCAATATTGGTTCACAGATTTCTAAATAGAAAACGCTGCTAAACTCTAAACCCTAAACCCTAAACCTCAAACCCCAAACCCCGCTGGCTAAGGCAAAGCAAAGAAAGTAAAATTAAGAGAAACTGTCGATGCAGAGGAAGCTGGAAAAACCCAGCGAGAGAAGGAATGATCAGAAAAGCAAAAGCAACCATGAGGAACAACAGCAACACAGCAAGGAAAAAGATGTGCAGAAGGAAGAAGACGCCTCACTTCCCCTAATGGCGTTGAACCACATGTCCAGGCTGTGCAGAAATGTGGAGGAGTCGGTGGATTTCTACACCAAAGTGTTAGGTTTTGTGAAGATTGAGAGGCCGCCAGCTTTTGATTTTGATGGGGCTTGGTTGTTTAATTATGGAGTTGGGATTCACTTGGTGCAGTCTGAGGATGAGGAGAGGCTTCCACATAATCCAGATCACTTGGATGCCATAGACGGTTAATATCTCCTTCCAGGTTCCAAATGAAATTAATTTAAGTCATTCAACTATTGAAAAAAAAAACTTAGATGAATTTAGTTTTGACTAAGAGTAATGCTAGGTAAACTAAATTTGGAGACTAAATTTGTAAACTAAATGATGTGTCACCAATAAGAAATAAGCACGTTAACCAACACTTAATGATCTAATCATCAACTTTTATATCATTTAGTTTACAAAAATTTAATCTGTATATTTAGTCTCTCTAACATTATCATTTGACCAATAGTCAATTTAGTCATCTTTGAGATGACGATGGTTAGTAAAAGACGGAACATACTCTAAAATAATACCGAACGAGTATAATACGTGAAAAATTATTCGATCGTTTTGCTAGAATACTATTTTGAAAAATTCGGCCATTTTATAACTTTTTAAAAATAATTATTTTAAGTATTTATTTATTTCTATTTCTTTAATAATGACGTATAAAAAAAAGTCAATTTTGTATGTAGAGAAAATGTTTTTTCTACGTCCATTAAACGTGAAAAGTGTGTAAGTACGTGTACAATATGTTGGAGTTGTAAAAAAAAAAAAATAAATGAAAGGGGATCCAAAACCTTTCTTTTTTTTTTTTTAGCCAAGGGATTCAAAACTTTGAGTTTTAACGGTAATGACAAAATAAAGGGTAAAATAAATAGTACCAAGATTGATTTTTTAGTATAAAAATGTGGTTTTCCGTTAAAGTGAACAATACCGAAAATTTTCGTTAAAATTTCCTATAAAAATTATGCTTTTACGAATTATTAAGAAGTGTACATAAAATAAAACATTTTTAAAAGTACATGCAAATATAATACGCCTACAATACGTGAGTGCGTCATCCATCATTTGCCATACGCGTCCTCGTGGTTTAATGGACTGGCATCTATATATAACTATTTTGTTTAAGTTTTCTTCGTTAATATATAATGTGATCAATACGATTAGAATTTGTAATTTAGTACACGTAAAGCTTTTAAAAGACACTAGTTGCTAGTCGGACAGTGGGTTGGGCCATAACGCCTAGACGGCTAGGCGGGGCCTAGGCGAGTGCTTAGGGGATTTAAGTAAATCGATTATGTTTCATGTAAATAAATATATGTTTATACTTAATATATATAATAAATCACAAAATAGAATGACAAATATGTTATGAAGTATTGGAACATAATGAAAACATTCATTTAAGTATTCACCAAGTCTCTTATAATTTATTGAAAAAAATAAAATGCAAAATGAAAGTTATCTATTTTCTATTTAAATAAGTCGCAACCTAGGCTGGTTTGGATAGGCTAGGCGTATGCCTAGGCGATATAGATAGGTGCCTTAGCAGGTTTAGGCGCCATTTTTTAATTTTGAAACGTCTGGGCATTAATCGGGGCAGTAGCCAACCGCCTAGCGCCTAGGAGGAGATTTTTAGAACAATGAATAGCACGGTTTTTCTACATTTACATAGAGGTCATTCTTGTGGCAACTTTTCTTTACTCTATAAGTACTAAATTACTTGCAGTGCGAAGACATTGAAGCCGTAGAACGGAAGTTGAAGGAGCTTGATATAAAGTACATAAAAAAAAGCAGAAGAGGATGATGAAAACGGAACAAAAATAGACCAACTCTTCTTCAACGATCCAGATGGATTCATGGTTGAGATGTGCAACTTTGAGAATCTCAAGCTTGTTCCTGCAGGTTCCTTGGGCAAAATAAAGATCCCAGTTGACATGCATACTCCGCCTGTTGAATTAAGGGCATAAACTTTAAAGGATGAAATATTATGAGAAATATTTCTTGTCACCAATTTTCATTCATGAGATAGATGCTAAACCTGAACGTGATGATTTCTTCTTATCTTGGAAATAGAGGTGCGACACTGTTATTTGCAATTGCAAAGACACCGTTAAGCAAAATAGTACGTAACTTGTACACGTATACTTTTGTTGACTCTAAAAATTACAAAACCTACGTGGCGTGCAGATCGAGTAACTAATAAGCTAACTATGTCATTCGGTTGAATGCGGGGTGTGCCAACTTGTCAGCCAAGCTCAGTCGAGAAGTAAAATTTGTTGATGTTGCGTTGAGCGCGCTGCTGACTTTTTTATCTTGCGATTGCGGCCGAGGAATGAACAAGTCTCGACCTTTGGATTCTCGAGCCTAAAGACAAAGCTGCTAATTCTGCGAAGTTCACGAATCGTCGCCGCTAGATTCGGTCACAGTGATTATATTTGTGAGTGTATAAGCACGTCGAATCGACATCAGACTATATGGACACAAGTACTCAAAGGTAATGTATGTCTTGATGGTAAATGTAGTTCGGCCATCAAAATGCGAACTCTGAAACTCACTTGTGAGTATCCAATCATAAAATCACTTGGCGTTCAATGTGCCGAATGTCGTAACTCGTAACACCTTACTTCGCCGAGAAGCCTAATAAGATGACCTCTGCCTATAAGGATCTGGAAACCCTTCTTGACCGAGACTTGGATAGATAACCAGTTAGCCTCAACGCAGTGTTGTTTATCCAAACTAAAGATGCTCATCGATCGATTGATTCTACAACAACATTGCTGTTTATCCCAACTGAAGATGTTCGCCGGTTGCCTCCACAATGCTGTTTATCCAAACTGAAGGTGTGTCAGCGGAAAAAGAAAACGAAAAATCTCAAGTTGTTTGAGAGGTTTGCACAGAGCAATTGTGTGTTGAATTTTTTTGTTCCTGAATTGCACCCTCATTTCTTTATTTATAGCAGCAAAAATCAATCCTAACCATACTCGAACTAGGACTCCTTATCTGGCCGAGAATCCTTACTGCATCAGGACTTAACCACTTCATTCATCTGCTTCGCAATAGGGCCCACCTACTTCCTATTCATCTGGAATATTCTTTTCCAAACAGGGCTTGGTCGACTTTTAGTTAGACGGACCATGAACTGGCTGGTTTGTAGAAATCCTCGAACAGAGCTTCTGGGCCGAGAACAATTCCATACTCGGCCCAACCCAATAATTTTAGGTCCAAACAACTTTATATTTAGGCTCAGCTGCATAAACCCGCCATTTCGTAAGGCAAATTATGCCTCGAAATATCCTCAAACACATCGCAACAACTTCATAATCACCCCAAGATTGCAGTGACCATCATCAAAATCTTCCCCAGGATTGTGTTTTTCATCTAGGCAAGAGCTTAACGCTATATCTTCCTCACTTGTACACCAGAACTATAGTCGATAGTGAAACAATAAGTTTGTCGACTGCAACATGCATGCGTCAAATTTCAACTTTAAAGTTAAGAGTAAATTGTAGCAATGATCCCTTAACTTTAACTCAATTGGAGTAATGATCCCTCAACCAAAAATCCATTACCATTGGTCCCTCAACTTATCAAAACGTGCAGTTACAGTTCTTCAACTAAAAATCCATTGCCATTAGTCCTTCAACTTTAATCTAATTGGAGAAATGGTTCCTCAACCTTAACCCAATTCGAGTAATGGTCATTCCAACATAACTCATTTTGACAAATTTTTGACGAAGTTGACGTAAAGGACCATAGCTACACGTTTTGATGAGTTGAGAGACCCCAATTGTAGTAATGGTCCTTCCAACATAACTCATTTTGACAAATTTTGACGAAGTTGATGAAAATGACCATAGCTACACATTTTTGGATGAGTTGGGGGACCAATGGTAATGAATTTTTAGTTGAGGGACCATTGCTCCAATTTGATTAAAGTTGAAGGACCATTGCTACAATTTACTCCTAAAGTTACTATCTCTTTGTTAAAAACCAAGCCAAACATCATGTGAATAAAAATAAACAAATTTATATACACATCTTTAATATCAACTTAACCATGATGTTGAACAAGACTAACATATACACTACAAGTAAATCGATCTGAGAAACACTATTTATAAAAGACGATACAAACTTGAAAGCTTAATGAAATCATAAAATACATATGGAAAATCACACATTTGACATAAAAAAGGCATCGATGTAAACTGATTCAAGGACTTAGTCTATGAAAAGCTACAATGAATCCGGATCAAACTTGTTGTGAGTAACTCAAACCAAAATGAAAGCTCAAATCCGAGAGGTGTATATGTTGATGAAGGACTGTATTATGACCTCAAACCTTCCACTATCTGGATGAACGTAAGTAACCTCAAGTTTTCCCTTCCTGCTAAAATATCGTAATTAACTTATTAAATTGCTTACAAATGAGGGCGAGCCTTGACGTATCAGAATTGCTCATTTGTGACTGAAATGTCATAGATTCGAGTCATGGAAACAATCTCTTTAAAGTAATGATAAAATTGCGTACAATAGACATTCATTCCCTGATTCTTGCGAACCGATGAGCTTTATTGGCTTGGTGTCAAACAAAATTACAAATGACTTGAAATTCTTGAGGTCATTCCCTTCATAGAAAAAGCAAAAATGATTTTGGGCCGGCTATTATTCATATCCCGCAAAAATAAAGGCTCAAAGTTTTGTCCAAACACGCTCTACCTATGCCCACAGGTTGGTTATTATGGAATCCGACTCTCTCGAATTTATCTCATGCTTAAGGGATTCGTTGGAGAATTGCAGTAGGGAGGCCTATCCTACTTTGATGAAAGTCAAACACTTAGGGGAATCCTTTCAGGATTGTTGCTGGTATTGGATTCCAAGATCAGCCAATATGTCTGCGAACTTGTTAGCGTTGACAAGATTTTTGGAGATGTGCGATGTCAACCGACATCTATCTTCGTTGGTTCATGTCTTTAATAATGATGGTTTACCTTAATTTTGTAATGGCTGTGCAGGAGGCGACGTATTAGCATTTGTTGCAGCGTCTTTCCTCCTTGTGCCTCCCTGCACTGCTCGGATTATTTTCTACCTAGTTAGTTGTTTGCCTTGGTGTAGGCTTTTTGTGTTATCTTGACATCTTTACCAATTCCAATTCCCCAGGTTTTTAAAAAAACATAAAAAAAAAAAAAAAAAAAAAGCGCTTTGCCAATGGCCCAAAATACCCTCTGGTCCCCAAAAAAATGCAAATCATAGGACAATGCCTAGTATTACACTTGTCATCATCTAACTGGAAGCGCGTCAGTCATTCGTACAAAATTATCGTCTACATCCCCTCACCTCCCTAAACCAGGCTCTTCCCGCTTGTACACAAACCCCTCCTCCTATGAGCTTTCACCGTACAACCATCAACAGCACAAACACCGAAGGCACACAGTGCAACCGACCGCAGAGAAATAGTAACCCAAACCCGCTAACACACCATCTCGTAACGCCAACGATTGCCAGATATCAACATCACAGAGGGGGAAGAGAGAGAGAGGGAGAGAGAGTGAGGAGGGGAAGAGAGAGAGAGGCCTCAACTCAGAAGCCAAAGTGCTTATCTTTCGCCTTCTCGGTATAAAATTTTCACACACAGAGATCACACTCAAAACCAAACCCTAAAATTCAAAAAATTTGCAGACTGGATTTACAAAATCATCCCCAATTCTTCAATTTCCAATAAAATCCACCATTTCTTCTCTCAGATCTGTTGCCTCGTTCGCCTTCAAATCCCCCAGTTCTTCCGTTTTGCAATAAAGATTGAGTTGGGGTTCTTGGGTTTCGCTCAATTTTCTAGCCATGGCGTGCGTAAAGGGGGTGAATCGATCGGCCTGCGTGGCGCTGGCTCCGGACGCCCCATACATGGCGGCAGGGACGATGGCCGGAGCAGTGGATCTGTCCTTCAGCTCCTCCGCCAACATTGAGATCTTCAAGCTTGATTTACAGTCAGACGACCGTGATCTCCCGGTAGTGGGCGAGTCGACGAGCTCTGAGAGATTCAACAGGTTGTCATGGGCCAAGCCCACTGGATCGGGGTCGCAAGAATTCGGGCTTGGGCTCATCGCTGGTGGACTTGTTGATGGCACTATTGATATCTGGAACCCACAAACTCTGATCCGGTAATTGGATTTGAATTTGGCATTTGCTTTTGGTTACGATTGGGATTGAATTGAATGGATATGAATTGAGTTTTGCTTGTAAATTTCGGATTTTCTGTGGATTTGGATTGTGGGTTTTCTTTTGGGTGCTGAAACAATGTGGGAAAGTGGAGAAGTTAACAGATTCTGTAGTTTCTTGTTGCTTGACTTTGATCTGAGTGAATGGCCTGTTTGGGGTGACGGGAAATGGGGTTAACGGTACCTGAAATTGGTATTTATTGTTCTATTGTGAGTGATTAGATCTCATTTTAAGCTGTGCTTTTATACCCAGTTCTTATTTTTTTCATTATTTGGAGTGAAATGATACCTTGAAATTTTCTTGGTTGCTGGAAGTCATGGAGATAATGTGAATTGGGATTTTCATGAATTCTATCTATGAAGATGAAAGCTTGGGCGTATTCTCTGGACGTTTTCTGTTCATTATTTATTTTTGTTAGTATTGCGGAACTATTTGCAATAATTTGAACCTCCTGTTAGATTTATTTGGTTTTGATCTTTCCCTTACAAAAATATGCGTGGAAATACATGCCCTCTGGTTTTGTGAAACATTATTTTTGTATTTGAGAAAGCATTTTATGGTATGCTTTGGAAAGGCCTTATTTTTTGTTCTCTCTTATCCTTAGTCCGGAGGCGGGTGTAAGTGCTTCAGTTGGGCATCTCACAAGACATAAAGGCCCTGTAAGTTTTCTTCCTTCAGAATGCTTGTCTTTTTGGCGGTTCTTTCAATGCTTGGACAACTGATCATTACGTAGATTAGTTCTCAAACTCTTAAATTTGAGTCTTGTTATTTTGTTCCAGGTTCGTGGTCTTGAATTTAATGCAATTGCACCCAATTTACTTGCATCTGGGGCTGATGATGGTGAAATTTGCATTTGGGACTTGACCAATCCTGCAGAACCCTCTCACTTCCCACCTCTCAAGGTTTGTGCTAATTAGTTGTCAGTTTATCTGAAATATTGCAAACTCTTTCTCTATAGTCTGTATTGTATTATTTATCCTCAATTTTTTTGGTGTTCTTATCCACTTCTGTGTATTTCACTTTTCTTTTTTAATAAACTGTTACATGTAGAGTAGAATAATTAGACATTATTAAAGATGCTTACAATTTTGTTACCAAAAGGTAGCTAAAGTAAACACCACTAGTTTGTACAATTATCATCACAATGAATGAGACGCAAGGTGGATGTACTAAGCAATGTATAATCATAATAAACATAGAGAAGTGGAAAGGATGCAAGGTCCCTTTCTACAAATTATTCTCATAACCTGTAGAGAACTATGTTAATTCTGACCGTATTCCTTATTGTACAAGAGAAAGTCTATAATTAGATCCCTCTAGTCTTTTCTGTCTCCATCTTTGCATGAAATGATTTTTCTCTCTCGTTTTGTTCTTTATGCAGGGTAGTGGATCTGCTGCCCAGGGTGAGGTGTCATTTTTATCTTGGAATAGCAAGGTCCAACATATATTAGCATCCACTTCATTAAATGGGACAACTGGTGAGAAATATACTATTCTCTTTAGGTACTTGTTGTCTAGTAGTTTTATAACTTTTATTTAGTGTGAAAATCTAACATTTTGAATTTTTCAGTGATTTGGGACCTGAAAAAGCAAAAGCCAGTAATAAGGTGATTTGATTATTCTCTACTGTGAAGCTGTTGTATTAAAATCTCAATGATTATCTGGATTGGTCATTTCCATTACCTAACTTGACATTGGTTGTCCGGCAGTTTTACAGATTCAGTTAGAAGACGGTGCTCTGTTTTGCAGTGGAATCCTGATATTGCCACTCAGCTAATTGTTTCTTCAGATGAAGATGGTTCACCTTCTCTTAGGGTAATGATACTGCAGTACTATTCTATTTGTTTAGTGGTCAAACGTTTTAACATTTCTGTTCATGCAGCTGTGGGATATGCGTAATATAATGTCACCAGTTAAAGAGTTTGTCGGGCACACAAAAGGTAATAAGACAGAAAAAAATCATCTCTTTCTTGACATACTACCTGTTAATGATTCTTTGGTGCCTTTCTTTTTGGTTGGGAGCAGTTTCTTTCTTTTGGTTTCATAAAGCTATTTTTACTCCAGTGCTAATTTCCATTGTTGTTTAACTAATTACTGGACATAGGAACAGATCAGAGATAGCTGTTTAAATATTCATCTCTACAGCTTAATATGCTAAGAGATTTTTGTACAGCCCTTCCCGATGTGGTTTGAAAATCAAACTGCATTCAAATATGAACATGATAATGAGTCTTATGAACCTGGAAGGATTTATGAAATTCAGGGAATGGCACATATTATTCATTAATCAAATCCTCAAACTGCTAGTCTACTTGAGTTGTCTTTTACTATAGTAAACAAGCTAATCCATTTTGGTTATTGTTTGTCACTAATTGTGGAAGTGGGCGTGTGAGAAAGCACAAGACTTTCAATGGGTCACCCAGATATCATGCCATTTTATGCGTGATTGTACTTGATTAGTGACTTTTTTAAGATACATTTTTGAGGCTGTGTGAAGTAGTACATAAGTTTCTCCATTATGCTTCTATTTATGCTTTTAGGAATTGTTGTGTCAACCTCATATTCCATGTGGTTGAACTTGCATTCAGTTTGACGAGATTGTTATTTTTGTAACTCAAAAGTACCGTATTAATGATATTATTTTGATCCGAAGTTCATTGGATATGCTTATGATTATGTTACGTACACATCCTGCCCCAGGTGTAATTGCAATGTCTTGGTGTCCGAATGACAGCTCCTATCTGCTTACATGTGCCAAGGATAATCGAACTATTTGCTGGGACACAGTTTCTGCAGAGGTATGGTCTTTACCCGCTCATCAAGGAGGCCAATATTTTGCATTGTGCACCTTGACCGCATTTTAATCTCTCCTGTACTTTTGGTTTCAGTATCATTGTCTTGACTGTGGGGTTGTTTTTTGTAATATATTGGTTCAGATTGTATGTGAATTGCCGGCAGGCACCAATTGGAATTTTGATGTGCATTGGTATCCAAAAGCACCTGGAGTGATATCGGCATCTTCATTTGATGGAAAAATTGGAATTTACAATATTGAGGTATAGTGAGGTTTTTATTATATTTCTGAATTATTGTACTGCACAAGTATTGAAGAATCATGGGGTGTAAGGAATGTGAAATAGGTTGAAAGAAAACTCTACATATGCTTTGTTGCTTGCTTTTGTTTATTAAAAAAACTTAGTTGTGGTATCTGATATGTAGATGGGTAAAGTAGCAAAATGTTAGGTGATCTGTTAAATGGGCGAACTCCAATTTTTAGTGAATGCTTGTGCTAAAATCCACGATTTATGATTATTATATATACACAACAAATTTTGTTTGATTATTATTACTGCATTATCAAACTGAGGATCACAATTTGTACGAGACACTAGGCGCATGTATACTGTTATGTAATCTGGAATACCTTCCAGCTACTAGACCACTACATTTACTGTTATTTTATAAACTGCACATAAATGGTGTGCATCCTTGTGTTTATGTTACTTCATGAACTTATCATGTTTTAAATCTCTTCTATTCTTTTATATTTTTCTCACAGGGTTGCAGCAGATATGGAGTTGGGGAAAGTGATTTTGGTGCAGGTAATGCACAATTAATTAGCCGTTGCATAGTAACATTTTGGGGTTCTATTTAAAAACTGAACTAAAAAAACTACGATCCTTCTTTAAAACACACAAATTTTCAAATACTAGATTTTTTTATTAAAAAGGTCGGTTGGTATGGAACTTGAAACCTTTTTTGTAAATCTTTAGTGAAGAAAACTGCTTTAATTCTTAAATATTAAGGAGGCAAAAAACCCGGATCTAACGGCCCAGAAGAGTGAAACTGACCACAGTTCACAGAAAACGGAAAAGAAGGAATAAAGGAGAGAAGGGGAAAGTGATAAAAATATCACAAAGAACGAAGTGGAACAAGAAAATGGAAAAGCAACTAGAAACTCCTACTGCAGAAGAGTGTGAAACTAGTACTTGTTTGCAGAGCCAATGATAATCAAAGAGCAGAAAGAGATGGAGAAGGGACTGAGAGGAGAAAGGATTCGAGAGGGAGAAAGAGTGGCTAGATTGAAAACTCAGAAACCTAACTTTTTTGAGTTTTAAAAAAGTGGGTTTGTTTTAGTGAGTTTTTAGTTTAGAGTTTTTGAAAATGGGTTGAGCAAACAAGAGTTACGAGCTTGGGACTCAAAAATTGTTTTTGAGTTTAAAAAGTTAGATACCGAACATGCCTAAATATTGCCTTGACAATTTTAGTATTTTCTTTTTGGGTTGCTGAACTCTGTTAACAACAGCACTTCATTGGCTGTTTTTTTCTCTGTTTCTTTTTGTACATAGATTATCTCTTACAGCACGCAATAAAGTTTGGCTATATGTTTCTTTTGGATTTTAGGTTGGAACGTTTTTAATTTGTACAGAACAGTAGATCTACTGTGTTCCAAAATTTCATTTGTTATCCTTTCTTTTCAGGACCTCTGAGAGCTCCGAAATGGTATAAGCGCCCAGTTGGGGCATCTTTTGGCTTTGGAGGCAAGATTGTGTCCTTTCAGCACACTTCTGCGGGTTCGGAGGTAGACTTTATTGGCGTGCTCCCTGTGTCTTCTGCAATGATGCATTTTAGAGTTCATTTTCCTCCCTTGTGTCCAGGTTTATGTACACAGCTTGGTTACTGAACACAGTTTGGTGAATCGCTCATCGGAATTTGAAGCTGCAATCCAAAATGGGGAAAGGCATTTACTTCGAGCCTTGTGTGAGAAGAAATCACAGGAGTCTGAGTATGCCACTTACCAGAAGAATAACTTTTTATGAGCTCCATGAGAGTTAATATCTCTTGAAAATTAATTCTCGTGTCATGGTTAACATCCTCTTTTGCTTCTGTTTGCATGATTTTTTTCGGCAGATCTGAGGATGACCAGGAAACATGGGGCTTATTAAGGGTATTGTTTGAAGATGATGGGGCTGCAAGGACGAAACTGATCACTCATCTTGGTTTCAGTATGCCTGAGGAAACAAAAGAAGATGCTCCAGAGGATCTATCACAAGAAGTCGATGCACTTGGGCTTGAGGATACTATAACTGATAAAGGGGGTCTTGGGAGTGATAAGGAAGCCACCATCTTTCCTTCTGACAACGGAGAAGATTTCTTCAATAATCTTCCTAGTCCTAAAGCTGATACTCCTGTGTCAACCTCTGGTGACAAAATCTCTGTGGGGGATACAATTCCTGTTACGGAACAAACGGAACAAGAGTCTGATGGACTGGAGGAGAGTGCTGACCCATCATTTGATGAATCTGTTCAACATGCTTTAGTTGTAGGAGATTATAAGGGCGCTGTTGCAAAATGCATTTCAGCAAATAAAATGGCTGATGCTTTAGTTATTGCTCATGCTGGTGGTTCTTCATTGTGGGAGAGCACACGGGATCAGTATCTTAAGATGAGCCATTCGCCTTACCTTAAGGTATTTAAAATCTACTTTCTTAAGAGGCTCGGAACACTTCCTATTTCATATTTGATAATATTTGAAACTTCTTGAAAAGATGTGAAAGATTGATTGTACCGTGTCTTAAGTTTTCCCATAATTCAGGCTTAACATGACTACTTCCTACATTCAGATTGTTTCTGCAATGGTGAGCAACGATCTCTTGAGTCTTGTCAACACCAGGCCTCTAAAGTTCTGGAAGGAAACACTTGCTCTTCTGTGTAGTGTAAGTTTCCCAGCTCCTCAAAATGTTAATGCCATGATGCATTGTGCCATTGTACATTGTAAATGAAGTGTTTTGGTTATTTGGCTCATTACTGTTCCTGACTCACCCTAAACTGCGCTCTTAATAGCTGCATCATAAGAGAATACCATTAACAAGTCAACTTTGAAATTTGTGTATCCACCAATTGATTTATGTTTTTCTATGTTTCTTGAATCAACAGTTTGCATCCAGAGACGAGTGGACTGTGCTTTGTGATACACTTGCTTCCAAACTTGTGGCAGCTGGTAATACGCTGGCGGCAACTATTTGTTATATATGTGCGGGAAATATTGATAAAACCGTAGAGATTTGGTCAAGAAGTCTGACCACTGAGCATGAGGGGAGATCCTATGTCGACCTCCTCCAGGTAATTTTTCATTTAGACAGTCATGTTCTTCTTGGCCATGAGGTTAAATATGTGTTTTTTTGGAGAGAGAGAAAGAGGTTAAATATGTTTTGTTATTTGGTTTAGGAATTAATGGAGAAGACAATTGTCCTTGCCTTGGCATCTGGGCAGAAGCGGTTTAGTGCATCTTTGTGCAAACTTGTTGAGAAATACGCCGAAATTTTAGCTAGTCAAGGCCTTTTAACAACAGCAATGGAGTACCTAAAACTCTTGGGTTCTGATGAGTTGTCACCTGAGCTTGTTATCTTAAGAGATCGTATTTCTCTTTCAACCGAACCTGGTATGTGCATCTTAAAAAGTTACTGAAGTGACGTTTTAATATATGCATTTTTGTATGTTGCAGATTGTGATCAATGGCAATTAATCTTATCAAAGTTAATACTGGTAGTCGATATTTTAATTAGTTCAATATGCAAAAAATACGATGGTTAAAGCTCTTAAAATTTCAAAAGCTTCTTTCTTGTCACCTGCATTACTTATTTCCTCCCCATATTATTTGTTGTGTTATTGCAGTAGAAAAAGTTGCCAAGAATGAAACATTTGGAAACCAACCTGCAGCAAGCGGGCCTGTATATGCGGCTGATCAATCTACTTTTGTGGGGGCCTCTCCTCCATATTATCAGGTGTTCATAAAGTTTTACGTTGCCGTTTTATTTTATTTTTTTGATTTGTCGTGTGTTGCCAAATCTGTTGCCTCGATGTGGATTGACCTTTTATTTTTTCTCTTTAAATGGTTAGGAAACAGTGCCATCACATTTGCAATCAGGTGTTCCTGTAAGTCCTTATGGCGAGAGCTACCAAGAACCTGTGAATCCTTCGTATGGAAGAGGAGGATATGGCCCTCCTGCCCCGTATCAGCCTGCATCGCAACCCCAGATGTTTCTTCCTAACCAACCACCTCAGGTTCCACAGGTAATTTGTTCTTATTTAGGGTCTTTATAAGCGTCATTAATTTGTTTACTTTATGAGTATGCTATAACATACTTTTACCACGAAAAGTATATTGCAAGGGCAACACTCCTCCACCAGTGGTAGAGGGCCACTTGCCAATGTGTATTCTTGTTGGTCAAGGGTTATTAGGATTTTCATATTTGGTAAATTGCAGGTGCCACAAAATTATAAAATTGTTCGTTACAGCCTTCAAACATGCACTTGTTATTTTAATGATTATCTGAAATTTAGCTGTTAATCACACTTGGACATGAAATCCTAGTTGTAATTAACTTTTTGTTATTGAGAAGTTACTGGTCACTTCCCACATTTTTCAATGTTCAAGGTTCTGATTCATTGGAATCTTCATGGTGTACCTGTAGGAGAATTTTTCTGCACCTCCCGTTTCCTCTCAGCCTGCAGTAAGGCCTTTCATTCCTGCAACTCCTCCTGTGCTAAAAAATGTGGAGCAATATCAGCAGCCAACATTGGGTTCTCAGCTGTATCCTGTCCGTATATCTTCGTTTGATGTCAAAATAAATATCAGAAATCATGTCCATGACTGTTTTTCTAAATTTTTTCTTGGTGGTGTTTCAGACTTTCCAACCTATGCAACCGGGGCCTGGTTCAACTGCTCCTCTTCAATCACAAGTCGCTCCAGTTCCTGTAAATAAGCCACATGGTGTAGCTCCCTCTGTTCCTCCAAGAGGATTTATGCCAGTTCCTAATCCAGGAGTTGTTCAGGGGCCTCATGCGGGTTCACTGCAGCCACCTAGTCCTACTCACCAATCTCCAGCTCGTACTCCTGTGGCAGTAGCAGCTCCACCACCCACCATACAGACAGTTGATACATCCAGTGTTCCTGGTAATTCAAGAATTCTTTTTATCTTTTGGAAATTTGCTAACTTCTCTCCAGAATTGTCTTGCTCTGTATATCTGTTTAACTTGTGCAGTTTTAAAAGCAAGCTTTGTGTTGTAATTTTCTCTTGGTTGTAGTTCCCTCAGTTTCAAACCTAGAAACAGAGGAATGCAGCCAAAATTAGAGGGCCATGAAATATATAACATGCAATTAGTGTAATATGCTGGTAGGATTGCAATATTTTGAATTGAAGTATTTGTTAAATAATAAGATGCGGATTCTTTGAGGTATTGAGATCTCGCTGACGTGAGAATTTTGGAAAACTGACAAAAAGGACATGAGAATTTTGGAACACCATGATCACTGCAAGCATGAGTGGTTATGGACAAATTGCATTGATATTCATTTGGATGATGAAGACAAGTATTATGGGTGGAGGTAATTACGAGATATATGATAAAAGTACAACTTGGAACAGAAGTATTGTCCTTTCAGATTGGTAGAGGAAGAGGATTTGTGCAGTTGACTCCAATTATAGTTGAGAGAACTACAACTATAATTGAGTTCTAATTAGGTTCTGTGTAATAGAGGGTCCAAAATTGAGTTCTAATTAGGTTCTGTGTTTGTTAGGTATTATATAGTGTAGGCTGTTTCCCTACTTTAAAATTAAAATCGACCTGACCTGAATGGTGGGCTACTTACACTATTTGGGCCGTACTCTTTTCTGGCGTGCAATTGATGGCCAAGAGTAGTAGAGGGAATGAAATATTTGTAGAGAGCGCAGTTAGTCGAGTGTTTGTATTGCAGTTAATTTCATGGAATGGCCTAAATCTTGAACTGGGATATGGTCTACGAGATGTTTTGGCATCTAGACGTTAGTGTTAATTGTGCGTTAATTGTGTATTTAAACACGTACAACAGTTAGGAGACTGCTATTTATATTTTCATGTGTGTGGGCTCTGTAAGATATTCTCCTTCATTTTGCGGTTCCCTATTTGTCACATAGAATTTCCAACCTGTGGTTTTGTGACAATCTTTGCTTATTTGTGGATAATGTGGTACAGCCCATCAAAAATCAGTAATTGCAACATTAACAAGACTTTTCAATGAGACATCGGAGGCGCTGGGAGGTGCACGTGCAAATCCCGGTAAGAAGCGTGAAATAGAAGACAATTCGAGGAAGATAGGTGCATTGTTTGCCAAACTCAACAGTGGGGACATATCTAGAAACGCTGCTGATAAGCTTGTTCAGCTTTGCCAGGCATTAGATAATGGTGATTTCGGTACTGCCCTGCAAATCCAGGTACGTTTATGGAAACTTTACTCTTATATTTTACTTTTACACTATAAAGGGTGATTTTTAACAGGGGGTTCTTTCTGTTTCTGCTTGCAATCAGGTGCTTCTTACCACTAGTGAATGGGACGAGTGCAACTTTTGGCTTGCAACTCTCAAGAGGATGATCAAGACAAGGCAAAATGTGAGACTATAAGTTATGAACGCTGTGATTACCCAAGTTTCGGATTGTTTTGTTCCTAGAAATCTTTCATGGCCTTATCTGCACGAAGACATGACGGTTTGTTTTCATGCATTCAAAAAGTGCATCTCTAGATTTTGGCCCGGGGATTTGATTAGCTTTGGATTAATTCTACCTTGGAAGGCAATTAGTGGGTTTGAAGTTTGAACGCGGTTAGAAAAGATAGTCGCACATTAAGGACATCTTGTTGACTGTTTCAGTTTTATTTTTGTAGTGCTTAGAAATAGCATTGATTTTTTGTTTTCTTTCGACGTTTTTACATAAATTCATAGTACGTTTACGAAGCTGTTCGAGCTTTTCCTAGTGATGTGGTAACATTTTGCCAATGGCATGAAATTGTACCCCCCCACCTTTGTGTTTTTATTATATGAACAGAAATTAGAATGACGACTTCAATTTTGTCGAAAATGATTGGATGTGAATCATTTATATGCTACTTTTTTTGGCAATTTGAGTTTTTTGTATTGGTTTGGGCACACGAATTTGAAGGTGCCTTTGACATTCATGTCAATGGAACCCCATTTGTCTAGGTTTTTTCTTCCATGGTTGTTCTGTGTTTGCCCGAGTCTTGTATGATGCAAATTTGTATGATGGCAGGACCAGATGTGTATTTGGTAGACATTTTTGATACGCTGGATATCCTGTTCATGTCTGATGGCAGGACCAGATGTGGCCGAGTTCAAGCGCCCCAAGAACATAGAAGTGTGCACACGCTAGGCCACAAAGATCCAGACCTCTCCAATTTTATAACAAATATTAGCAAGGCTTCCTCAACTTTAACTCAATTGGTGCAATAGTCCTTAAATTCAAAACTCATGACCATTGGTCTCTTTAACGCATCAAACTGTGCAACTATCATTATCGTCAACTCCGTTAAAGCTTCTGTCAAAATGGCTAAATCAACTTTAACCCAATTGTAGCAATAACTATTCGAACATAACTCGTTTTGATAAAAGTTTTGACAAAGTTGACGAAAAGGATTATAGCTGCACGTTTTGAAGAATTAAGGGATCAAATTTTTAGTTGAGAGACCATTACTTTAATTGAGTTAAATCTAAGAGACTGTGCCACAATTTCCTCATTTTAGAATTTCAAAAAAGTAAGGGCCAAGAAGTGGGAGTAGGTGTAAAGACTTGACAGACGGATACCTAATATACTTGTTTCTGCTTGCTGCCAAACAGCTAAAAACAGAGTTCCTCTTCCAGGATACGTTTTGAGTTCGAAACCGTGTTTGGGGAGCTAGCTAGTAGTGCTCCGGAATCTTTTCATCTTTCAAACTTCAGTTTGTCTTGTACTTGACTGTTTTGTCCAATCCAAAGGGAAACAAACAGCAGAAATAGCAACAGCTACGACATAAAGAATTGTCACCACTAAAGAGAGTGTTTGGCTACTGCACTTGTCCAGTCCTTTTTCTTGGACCACCACAGCACTGCTGTTCCTGTACCCGGAAAATGCGTCACAAAAAATCTAGGTTCTCCAAGGAAAACGAAGAGTTTCTTTTAACCATTTTCTTCTTTATTATTAGCAATATTTTTACTTTATGTCGGACTGAATGAGGGGAAAGAGGGTGTTCGAACTCAAGATGTAGTAGGATTAAGAAAAAGATTAACAGCCATAATAATAATGTAACAAGCGCTTTTCAGTTGTCATGTAATGTAGTCAACTATTGTAATCAAGAGATGTAGTACATCTAGTATTATTCGCAAATCATACAATTTTATGTATGATTTATTTACATGAGACTTATGGATGAAGAGTCAATGATCATCTGATTTCTTAGCACTTAGGGCATGTTTACCAAATGAGATTAGAGTGGGAAGAAACAGAATCACACTTGTCTAGCGCATTCGAGCGTTTACTAGCATTTAGGGAATCAGAAAATAGTTGGGGATCACCTAATATCGGTAATCGAATGTCCTAAATCTTTCTAAATTTAGTTACTTAGATGGAGGAATCTAATTATAATTCCACTCTCATTCCAAACTCATCTTCAATTCAATTCTTGTCAATTCGATTAGGAATTAGTAAATGAGCCATATGTTTTTATTTTATTTGAAAAGGTCCTTATTTGTTACATATCACCAAATCTACCAATCCGAGCCTTTGAAATTTAATCAAACGGTTAAAGTTATTATAATTTTTAAAAGGATCCTCTGTTTTTAGCCGTTAGATCAAATTTCAAGAACCTAGATTGATGAATTTGATGGATTTAATAAAAGGGATCCTAAGAGGATCTCAAAATGGGAAAGAGATTAGGAAGTAAAGATACTTTTACAAATTAAATTAACTGACAAGACTAGGACATTTTCATGATGGGTAAACAAAGCAAACAGTGTGATACTGCGAGAGAGTCAAACAAGAATTCAAAGTGACATGATGAAAGTTGAGCCATTCCCTTTTAATATATTTCTTGGTAGAAGATAATTCTTCCTTGTCGAACTAACGTCAAACCCATCTAGAAGCAACAAGTTATCTACTACGTACAACTTAAGTTCGTCAAAAAGTATGATCAATCTATACTAAAGGATTCTCGCCCGATTTTTTTGTGTGGAGATTTTTGCGAATTTCGTGATGATGGTCGTTTATTGTATATCGTGTGATTAGAAATCATTTTAAATTTTAAATTAAATATAAATAGTACCTAACGAAAATTGATTGCATGATGTATGATGAACGGTCACGATCACGAGATTCTCAGGATCCCCATAAAAAGAATGCTCGCCTAAAAGAGAATGGATGAACTCGTCGATCTAACAACTTCCTACGTGTTCTTATGCAATTTGAGCTTGCATTGTGAAAAAATCTAACTTAAATCGTGATTTCAAATGGGTATTACTTCAGGTCAAAGATTAAGAAAATTTGAGAAACTAGGACAAGAAAACATATTAAAAGATAGGAAATTTTTTTGAGTAATATTGGAAGCATGGGAAATTTTCATTAATAATAACAATAAAATAAAAACTTGTAGATTGATATCATCCTACAATTTTGCGGGGATTACAAGAGATGAGTTTTCTTCGTGACTTATTCAACTTCAACCTTCAACTTGGACACAAATTTTGCTTTCTCAAAAGTATCCATTGCTTCATTTGACACGCATTGAATCCAGTGAATTATCCAATTCAATCCTTGACACCAATTGAAACCAACAAAAGAAAGCCACATGCATAGACATCTAGAGCTCACAACTAAACATAAATCTCTTGGGATGCAAACAACACTTGAATCTTAAACAGATTGCCTCTACTTCTGTTTATTTGAATTTGAATACAAACAAGACAATACAAAACATTGTGCTAAAATCTTATCCTCGTTCCATTTCAAAACACTCGAGACTCGGCAAATCATAAGATCGCGGAAATTGGAACAATGCAGTAATATAGATGCAGAACTACAAAGAACAACAGCGGTATCACTTGCATCGACATTAAACAACTTACAAAGACGAAAAACAAAAATGATCGACAACTTACAACTGGGGACATCAGCAATGTACCCTTGACTGACATACATGTCGTAATTAACAGCACATGAACAAATTAATGAATACACCACTAGAGGCGAGATAACAAAACCCGGAACAAATGAGATACCAACAACAAATCTACATCAATGTGAAATTAGCAAGCAAGGAAGCTTACATGCCTTTGTTCTATTCACATAAATCAAATTTCTGCAGCAAGCTGTATACCAGCAGATGCACGGAAACTGCCGCTCACATGAGGCATTGCATCATCTCTCCTTGAACATGTAAACGACCTTTTCCCAAAAGAATGATTTTGCATCAAATCAGGGACTTGTTTCCCGTTACCAGGAGTTGATTTATTAATCCTGCCAATGTATCGTCCGCTACCAAATCTAGAAACCTGATTCGCTGATTTTGAACTGCGATCATCTCCATCTGCATTACCATGAAAGTCAGGCTCCCCATCAGTACCTGCCATAAGCTCCATCAGATTGCTACTAAACCCCAAATCCGAATAAACTCTCTGCGAATTCCTCAATACTTTCCTAGCCAACTTAGCTTCCAAGGCTTCCAAATTCTCTTCTCCAACACCCTCCAGCTTCGAACTCAAATGCACAATCCTCGACTCAACTGGCCGCCCCATGGTCTCTACCATTGTACACGGATTGTTAAAACCATTCCACGAATGCCGGGGAACCAGTTTACTCAACCCGGTAAGCCAAACCACAACCTCCTTCATCGTTGGCCTACGCTCCCTACAAGACCTCACACACTTGGCTGCAATGACAGCTAATTGCTTCCTCACAACAGGGTCTTTAGGAGGTACAATTTGCGGATCATAAACCGTTATCAGCTTCCCTCGCTTTATAAGCGGGATAGCCCAATCCACAATCGAAGGCGGAGAATGCCCAACATCTATAGCCTTCCTACCACTTATAATCTCCAACAACAAAATCCCAAAACTAAAAACATCAGTTTTAGTACTCAAATTGTCAGGGGTCACATAGCAAGGGTCCAAGTACCCCATCGTCCCCGCCGGAGGGGTCGACCGGAGCCTATATTCGTCGAACAGGCAGTACCTCAGAGCCAATCCAAAATCCCCCAACCGGGCATTGTAACTACGATCAATCAAAACATTTGCAGACTTAATATCTCTATGAATTACAGGCGGGCTCGATGAATGTAAAATGTCAATTGCCTTAGCAGTTTGCAAAGCTAATCTAATTCTACGACCCCAATTCGGAGGCCGATTCGTACTTGAATGTAAAACATCGTACAGCGTACCGTTGCTCATGAACTCCACCACCAAAAGCCTGTCTTTCGAATCATTCGAAAACCCCAAAAGATTGACCAGCCTCGGACTCTGAATCTTGGACAAGATCTCGATCTCGTTGTCGACCTCGTTGGCGGTCTCCGGCCCAGAACACGAGTTGGGTCGGAGAGTCTGGCTGTGAGCTCTGGAGGGTCTTTTGATGGCAACTAGACGGCCGCGGAGCATAGCTTTGTAGACGTAGCCATGGCTGCCTTTGCCCAAAAGCTTCTGTTCGGAGAAGCCATTGGTGGCGGCCACAAGATCACTGTAGTCGAAGTGTTCGATCTTGATGGGCTTTTCAGCGGTGACGGTGGCGGTGGTTTTGGAGGATGAAGTTTGGGAATTGGCGACGGAGATGGCTGATTCAGCTCTGCAAGAAAGGTACCCCATAAGAGGAAAATCGAGATTTCAACTTTGTGTGTTTGTGTTTTTGGATGGATTGAAAGGGAGAGACGAGAGTTTGGTGTGATGATATATTACGTGACTGATTATATGAAAGTTGCAGAACCAAAGTTGGTTGAAAATTGGGTTTTGTTGGCGTCGTGTTCTACAACTGTTTGTGCGGTGTCGGTACTATATATTACAAGTAAGGACGCTTGGGCAGGGGTAAAAAGTGTTACTGACTTAGTTTTTATTGGTTATTATTATTTTTTTTTTTAAAGTTGACTCTTCAAGAGTATTGGGCAAGAGTCTGGGTAATACTAGAGTAAGGATTCTCGCCGGATTCTTACCGAATTTTTTTTGTGAGAATTTTAGAGATCTTAAAGTTACATTTATTTATTGTACATTGTATGGTTAGAAATCATTGTAAATTTTTTTTTATTTAAAATTAATTATAAACAGTACTTGATGAAAATTAGTCTCACGATGTACGATGAACGGATATGATTATAGGATCCGGCGAGGATCCTATCTCATTAAACTGGACCTGTCAAGAGCCATTGTATTATTTTAGCGTAGGTTAGATGTGACTTATTTTTTGAAACAAACGATATTATCTATATGAAGGGGGTGAGAGACTGGGTTAAGTTTCGTAATTGATTAGCAAAAATATGGTTCATATTTGTCTTTGGTGAGAATCGAATCTAAGATCTTATTTACAAATAAAAAAAAATATTACTAAACCGTAGTACTAAGTGTCACATTTGATATGCATTGTTAGAAATTGAATTTTATCATTCGAGGCTAAATTACACTTATGTCAAGGCTGGTTTTCATGCATTAGGTATTCTCTTAGTTGCAATGATGCAAATTTTGTTAGACTTGAGGCAAGCATGATTGTCTTATGGATACAATCTTAATAATGATATGTAGACATGTTCAATCAAGAATGTGGCTCGTGTTATTGTTTGGACTCTTTATTGTTTCATAGAGGTATGTGAGTGTACAATAAGAAACATGCTCTATGGTTTAGGGTGGGATTCACTGTTAACACGTCTTTTCATGTGTGACGAATTTTCAAATCTAACACGTGAATAACTTAAATTGGGTGACGTGGAGCACAGTGTGACCGTTGGGCTTCACATGGGACAACCTGTTGTTCTAATACCGTGAACAAAGTTAAGGTTACACCATGAGAGTAGCCCAATTACTTAGAAGCAAGGTTCATTTTGCCTATGATGTATGATTCATTCTCAACATGCACTAGAGAGGAATCGCATTCAATTGCACTTATAGTTGATTGTATTCCCTACTATTTTTCTTAGCTTGAGTAGCCATGATAATTGCTAGGTGGCTCTCATGACTTGTAGAAGCTTTGAGAATTATTCATAAGGGCTTGTTTAGGAAATGTTTTTAAATGACTGAAAGCGCTTTTAAATTTTTTTTTTTTTTTGAAATCAATCCTTAGTAAAAGGCAATTTAATTCTGAAAGAAGCACATAACTAGTGTTCTTGTAGAATGCACTTCAAGTGATTTTGGAACCCAAAAACATTCTAAAAATATTTTCAGTCATTTAAAAACACTTTCTAAACGAGCTCTAAGTTCTTGTAAAAGGGAGAATAAAAAATGACCAATTAATTCGTAAACGAATAGTAAGAGTGCTAGCCTCACTAATTAAAACCTAATAGATCTCACATCCATAACTTAATTGAAAAACCAAATGGAAAATGATTGAGTTAAAAGGATGGATAAATTAAACCTAATAGAAGTTAGTATATTACATGAGCATATGACACTGAAATGAGCCTTAAGATTAGTTTCGATTTCTAGGCTCATTGAGCTTTGACCCAATAGACTTAACTTACGTTGCGCATGACAACTTAAAGATAACGGCCCAAAAAGGCTAAGAATGGGCTAGGCCGATCCTAGGATTATAGGATCCTAAACTCAGTAAAGATTATATAATCTTTATTTATTTATTTATTTTTAACCAATGATATTATTTACACTAAGAAGGAAGATGTGGACTTAGTCTCACAATTTGCTAGTAAATGTTGTTCACATTCGCTTTTGCACGAAAAGCGAACCTAAGACTTTTCACTTATAAGAAAAGAAGAATATCATTAAAACGTAGTACGAAGTGATAGTAAAGATTATATAATTGTATTCTAAATTAAAAAAAAAATGTTAAAATAGTGAAATCTATAGGAGTTCATATATAGTGAATACATGGTCCCTACGATGGTCCTATATATACGTATATCTCGTTAGATTTGAAGAGAAACATAGAAAGAAAGAGTAAGGAGCATATAGTAAAATTACATTATTTTATGTTTAGTTAGCCATTCAATTTCTCACTCGCTAAATCTTGCAAGTAATTGTTCATCGCATTAACTAGCGAGGCAGATAGCTAATACGGTAGACTTGAATATTTTATGTGTTTTATGTTAAAGTAGTCGAAGACCCTCCCTTTACAAACGTTGGTCACATTGGATATTCCATTAAAACATAAGAGTTTTAACGAAAACCTGCATTACTGTTTACTTTAACGAAAAACTATATTTTTACACTAAAAAATCAAACCTGTTACTATTTACTTTACCCTTTATTTTGTCTTTATCGTTAAAACTCAAAGTTTTCAAGCTATTTTTATTAATTTTCCTTTAAAACAAAGAAGCATGGTTGTCAGGGGTCAACAAACCCCAGTGCCCTAATTGATGTGGTTTGTTTCGTAAGCATGAAAAGGACATTAGAGTTGTACAGATGTTAGCGAAAGGGATGCTTTATGTATATATAACATCTATATTAAAAACTCTAGCTATCAACTTGAATAAGAAATTAAGAAATGTCAACATTTTAAGTAAGGGTGGTTATATCCACATACGCAAGCTTTGGGATTGGATAAGTTGAAGAAGACCGATGAACCAAAATTAATAAAAGTGTGTAATAGGTAAAATGGGTGTGTGAATGGCACTATCCTAAAATTAATAAAATTAAAAATAACCTTGTGATTGGTTAATTGTCATTTTTATTCCTACTTTTCCATTTCAACTTATCCCTTCGTTCAACAAACATACCAACTATTCATACAGTCTAATTGTACTTCTCGTCACTTTTAAGTGAGTGATTTTTTGTTCGATTCACATAAATGACAATATCCTCATATAATTGTGTTGAGTTCGATATTTAGTATATGTTACTGACGATATATGATGAACGGACATAATTGATTGATCGTCTGTATCTTTACAAAGAGAATCTCTTCGATCATATTCCTTGACTTTGCTCCATTTCCGAAGGAGCGTGAGATATATATTTTCCCCACGAGATTAGCATGTAATTTGGTGCAATATTTGAAGACCCCAACATGCTAGGAATAGGATTATTTCCTGATTCTCTTTAGGTGCAATATTTAAAGACACCGGATTCATATCAAACACGTGTACTGCACGATAAGACCACACCACACTAGGCACCCTAGCTATAGTGTACAGTTCAAGATATTCTGACTTTAATCTAATATATAATGGCTTTTTATATTGGACTTGGAGGCAAATTCTTGGGATTCTGCTGAGCGACAAACACAGACAGTTAGATTTCGATCTAATAGTTACAAGTAGGAGGTCCCTTTTAAAGTTATAATAATTGTAATCGTTTAATTGAAATCCAACGTCCTGTGTTTGTCTCTATATTAGCACCTGAATGCATCCCACATTAAAATTTAATATTAAATGATTTATTTACTCAACTATGCAATGATAATTTTGATCTTATTAGGTTTAAAAATAATAAAAAATTCTAAATACACCCCAAATCACTTTTAACTTATTATTTATCTTTTTCAACTATCAAAATCCCTCATACCCTCCATTTTGAACAAAAACCTAACCAATGAAACTACAAACATGTTGATTGAGAAATTATTTTTGACGAATGAAACACGAAATCAATGTTTTCTGAAGTTTCACATGAGGTAAGACTTCATAATTTTTTATTGTTTTAGTGATTTTGACGATATCAATAATTATTTAATCTTGCTTTTGTTGCGTTATTCAAGCTTCTATGTTCGTATTCATTTTTTAGGGATCATAGGAATTACATGAAGAATTAAACACCTAAAATTACCACCAAATATTAAAAACAAACGACATGAGTTTTAATAGTGGAATTAAAAACAACCCACATATGCTTTAAATCCCATGAGTCATCTTTTTTCAAAATTTCAGTCGACATTTTTTGTCCCAATTAAAAGTTTTATAAGATTTGATAAATGTGGGGTGTATAGAAAATATGGCGTGCAAGTAGAAAATGTACAGTGTATATTGAGAATGTGAGGTGTGAGGGTATTATGGAGAAGTATGTAGGGTGTACTAAGATAATTTTCATTGAAAAAGCAAATGTGGGATATATTAATTATGTAGGGTTTATTCAATAATACGTAGGATGTTAATATAATAAACCTATATAATTACATAATAATTACATATCTGCCATCTCCTGTTTGTTCCTCATCGATTATCAACAGTTGAACATCAAGGACATACTAACTATTCATACTAACTATTCATACGGTCTAATTGTACTTCTCGTCATTTTTAACTCAGAGATTTTTTGTTCGATTCACATAAATGACAATATCCTCATATAATTGTGTTGAATTCAATATTTAGTATAGTGACTGACGATATATGATGAATGGATATAATTGATTGATCATTCGTATCTTTCAAAGAGAATCTAAAGAGGATCATATTCCTTTGACTTTGCTCCATTTCCGAAGGAGCGTGAGATATATATTTTCCCCACGAGATTAGCATGTAATTTGGTGCAATATTTGAAGACCCCAACATACTAGGAATAGGATTATTTCCTGATTCTCTTTATGGTAGGATTATCTCCATCTCCTGTTTGGTGCAATATTTAAAGACACCGGATTCATATCAAACACGTGTACTGCACGATAAGACCACACCACACTAGGCACCCTAGCTATAGTGTACAGTTCAAGATATTCTGACTTTAATCTAATATATAATGGCTTTTTATATTAGACTTGGATCTTCTCCTAGGCAAATTTTTGGGATTCTGCTGAGCGACAAACATGGACAGTTGGATTTCGATCTAATAGTTACAAGTAGGAGGTTCATTTTAAAGTTATAATAATTGTAGCCGTTTGATTGAAATTCTAATAGCCTGTGTTTGTCGCTATATTAGCACCTGAATGCATCTCACATTAAAATTTAATATTAAATGATTTATTTACTCAACTATGCAATGATAATTTTGATCTTATTAGATTTAAAAAATAATAAAAAATTTCTAAATACACCCCAAATCACTTTTAACTTATTATTTATCTTCTTCAACTATCAAAATCCCTCATACCCTCTATTTTTGAACAAAAACCTAACCAATGAAACCACAAACATGTTGATTGAGAAATTATTTTTGACGAATGAAACACGAAATCAATGTTTTCTGAAGTTTCACATGAGGTAAGACTTCATAATTTTTTATTGTTTTAGTGATTTTGATGATATCAATAATTATTTAATCTTGCTTTTGTTGTGTTATTCAAGCTTCTATATTCGTATTCATTTTTTAGGGATCATAGGAATTATATAAAGAATTAAACACCTAAAATTACCACCAAATATTAAAAACAGACGACATGAGTTTTAATAGTGGAATTAAAAATAACCCACATATGCTTTAAATCCCATGAGTCATCTTTTTTCAAAATTCCAGTCGACATTTTTTGTTCAAATTAAAAGTTTTATAAGATTTGAGAAATGTGGGGTGTATAGAAAATATGACGTGCAAGTAGAAAATGTACAGTGTATATTGAGAATGTGAGGTGTGAGGGTATTATGGAGAAGTATGTAGGGTGTACTAAGATAATTTTCATTGAAAAAGCAAATGTGAGATATATTAATTATGTAGGGTTTATTCAATAATACGTAGGATGTTAATATAATAAACCTATATAATTACATAATAATTACATATCTGCCATCTCCTGTTTGTTCCTCATCGATTATCAACAGTTGAACATCAAGGACATAAACAACAAAGCAGAAAGCCAGATCATACAACAATTAATGGAGGGTGAATTCTTCAACTTCATTCAGGTATGGTCTTCAGTGTTTGCATGTTTCTTCTACAGCCATTCAATTGGGAAATTTGTCCCAAAAGGAACAACCAGACTTTTCTGTGTCCTCCCAGTTGTCTTCCTCTTCCTTTATCTTCCTCTCAACTTCTCCTCCATGCATCTTGAAGGTGGCACTGCCTTTTTCATTTCTTGGCTCGGCAGCTTCAAGCTTCTACTCTTTGCTTTTGGCAAAGGCCCCTTGGCTTCACATCCACCAATCTCTATTGGACGTTTCTTGGCCATCGGTTGCCTTCCAATTGAGTTCCAAGAAAACCCACCTCCAAAATCCCCAAATCCCAAATTTGAAACCTACCCATCTCCCTCAAAATCCCACCCAAATGGCCAAATGACACAAAACCCACCTCCAAAATCTCAAAACCCTAAAATTGAAACCTACCCATCACCCTCAAAATCCAATCCAAATCGTCAAAACGGAGAAAACCCACCTCAAAAATCCCAAAATTCTAAAATTGAAACCAACCCATCTCCCCAAAACGCCCAAAAATTGTCCCTAAATCAAGCAATAAAGGGCATACTTTTTATCATTCTAATTGGTGTCCTTAAGTATAGTGAGCACTTCCACCAAAAGCTCGTATTGGTCCTTCATTGCTTGTACATTTACCTTAATCTGGAAAACTTACTGGCCATTGTAACAATATTGACTCGATCTCTGTCGGGTTTGGACCTCAAGCCCCACTTCAACGACCCATACTTCTCCACGTCGCTTCAAAATTTCTGGGGCCGAAGATGGAACCTCGTGGCCCACAGCATCCTGCGCTCCGCTGTGTACGAACCCACCCGCGGTTACTCTGCAGGCGTCATTGGCCGCGAGCGGGCCCATCTGCTGGCTGTCTTCGGAAGCTTTCTGGTGTCGGGGCTCATGCACGAGCACATCTACTACTGCATGGGGCGGGTGAGGCCCAAGTGGGAGGTCACGTGGTTCTTCGTCTTGCACGGAGTGTGCTTGCCGGTTGAGATCGTTTTGAAGAAGGCGTTGAAGGGCAGGTGCCGGTTGCCGAAGGTGATCTCCGTGCCGTTGACCCTTGGGTTTATGGTGGTGACCTCCTATTGGCTGTTCTTTCCGCAGTTTATTCGGTGCAAGGCTGACGTTAGAATGCTTCAAGAGTACGGTGAGTTTGCCGCGTTCTTGAAGAACGTCATTCCAAGTTTCCGATAATATATGAAAGGTTTATTTTGTTGCGCCCCCCTAAACCTCATAGTTCAAGAAAATTATGGTTATCAACTGTTTGATTTTAATTCAAGTTTGAAATAGAAAGTATTATAGGCAAAAGTTAAATGACTAACTCTGTTGTATTGAGATCGTACGGTGAATAATCACAATTTTCTTGCACCATGAGAAAAACACAACATTTTTACTCACAATATACTCTGATCATCTTCAAGGAACTCATCAGACACTACATGACAACAGGAAAGTGACAGAATTCTATGCGACACCCCAAAATCATGAAATTTAAGATCTTGGCTCATGAAGTGTCTTAGTTTTATCCAACATGAAGTTTACAGATTGTATCTCTCTTAATCAACCATTAACACAGTTATGTAATATTTGATTTTGGTCCATGATCACGTCAGTCTACCATCTCCTGCTTGTTCACCATCACCAACAGATCAACATTAAGGACATAAACAACAAAGCATAAAAGAGGTACAACCGAACTTCCCCCCATACATCTTGGAGGTGGCATGGCACTGCATTTTCATTTTCATGGCTGATAAAACAATCCATTGTTTGAAAAATGCGAGTATGAATTGACAACGTTGTATTCGGTGTGTTCCATGAGATGACAATAACAAAAGCAAACATAAAACAAATGTCCCTTCCTTTCTCAGTTCATTATTTCGTTCCTTGAGAGAAAAAACATACATTAAGACATGCGTCCATCCGTCGGACTGAACAATCTCATGATACAGTGTTATCGTACAAGTAGACAACCATTCTCGACTAGCAATTGTTATCCTATATTAATATGACTCATCTTCCTGAGTTTTACAACATTTTTTGTTACTTAAACATTATACATTTACAATGAAAAATTGTTGAGAAACGTAGACCATGCGACTTAGAAATCACAAGGGGTCCAGTTTCCAGTCAATTTCTAAGTGGGTGCAATCAAGTATACCTTTAACTCTATCCAGAGCTGCTTGCCTGTGTTGTAGCAATGGAAGTGACAAATCATTTGCTTGCTCCTCCTCGTCGTGTTTCTTTCTTTTCCGAGGCAAACGCCTTGATAAAGTTTTCCATTTTGATTCGAACTCGCAAGCTACAACAGAAAACAAAGAGTTACTTGGTCTGTTTGCGTTGAGGATGTGGAGCTTAGCTTACATAAAAGGATCATAATTGCAGAGAAAAAAGCTAAATCTGATTAACCATTCCTTTTGCGTACAGTTTAGTAAATCATAAAATATGATATCAAGTTTCATTAGGATCTTACACAAAATTTGCATGAAAAATGAGTCACTAATCATAAGTGGACGAAACCCCTTAGAGCTACATAAAAAGACTCCACACTAGAGCTAATCCCACCACATAAAAACCGGGGGACAAAATGCTCATCCCTCCCACTCTAGTTCTTGAAAAACTCTTTGAAAATTCATCCACTAAAGAGCTCCCGATCCTAAGGTATCCCCTTAAGTTAACAGCTAACTAGACATTTTTTCACATCCAAATAATCGTCATGGAAGGAGCTCCTGATCAATCATCCCTGTGGTGGACAAATGTAAAAATTATATTGGCACTTCAAAATAATGGGTGCCATTGTAGGCAGCAACATTTTAACAGCTGGAGCAATACAAATTGAGCCCATAAATTGACCAAAAATTGACCGAATGAAAGGATTAAGTATGTTAAAACACAATCTTTGTTTTCCAATTCCAAATAAAATACCTTCACTTTGGCCCTTAAAACCATGTATTAGGCAAGCACAAATCCATGGTCTTCCAGCACTAGATGCTTTTGCACCACCTTTGAGCTCGCCATTATGTTGTTTCAAACTGCATAAGAGTTATATAACAATAGACTATAGTTACTGCTTGACCAAAAGATTACCAGAAATCACTGAGTCCGCAAACAAAAAACCAGATCATAAGAACACATAAGCATTTATTTTCAGGAGAATAATTAGAGGGACACCATCACCAAGTACAGCATAAGTAAATACACAAAAAGCTATAACTCCAGCGGCAAAACAAGAAACTGAATGCTAAAACAAAGTTCCTCTAAATTCCTACAACAACTATATAGCTAGCAAAGAAGGCAAATCCACCACAGGGAAAAAATTTCAACATCTTTGCTCCCCACCCAGAAAACCTAAAGTGATCACGAAACAATTCACCTTGCATACTATTCATTCCTTAAACTGGCGGTTTTTTTCGTCTTCATAATTTGTAATCGAATCCAATGTATGTGCACTAACACTGATCATTGTTTCATTCCCTTAATTCTTTCAAAAGCCGAAAAGAAACATTACAGGAATCTAAGATACCAAAAGTATACTCCTTTGTGAAACTCAGGGGCTAGCTAGAATCAGAACTAACCTAAATTATCACGGAGCCGTGCGGTGAGCACAGAGCCACCAATTCTTTCGCATTTTACTAAAGTACTACCAAATTATCCCAGAATGATACAGACCCAGATAAAAATGTGTGCACAAATTTAATCAATCTCTACGGGAAAGCATAAATTTGAAAGACCCAGAAAAGAATTTGTTCACAAATTTATCAAACAGCTAAGAGTAAGGATCAAATTTGATTCTCTGAAAGACCCAGATAAGAATTTATTCATAAATGCATCATATTAGATGAAAAGGATAAAACTTGAAACGAAATCAGACGTACCGGCGAGAGAAATCGGTGGTGACGCCGACGTAGGTTTTGATTGGGGAATTAGTGGAAAGAATGAGATACACAGACCAAGATTTTGGTTTTGATTTTGATTTGGACGGAGAGCTCGAGGATGCTTCTGATTTGATCGACAGGGATAGCGAGGAGGGTAATGATAATTTTGGGGGGTTAGGGTTCTGGAACTTGACGGAAGGGAATGTGCTCGAGAGCCGTCGCATAATTTCAGGTGAGCAGATCAATGCTCTGCTCGATCGGCCTAAAAGTCTGAACGTTTTTGAACTGTTCCATTTAAATATGCATACACCTGAAAATACCGTTGATGCTATAATTTAGATTTGGTAGGTGTAAGTATTCTAAAAATCGGCCGTCTCGGCACTAGGCGGTGCAGGCCTGCCGCGATTTAGCGCAACTTGTTTTGAAAAGAGTTAGGCGGCCACCTATAAATAACAAGGTTAAATAATTTAGTCTATATCAAATTCAATGAAAGGATCATGAGTAAGAAGAATTTAGTCAATCATCTAAGAATACTCCTCGTTATGATTATATGCTTACTGGTTTTCAAATATTGAATTTGTTTGATGGATTTATCATTCTTTTATTATCTATACAAGTACAGTTTTTTAGTTTTTTTTTTTTTTTTTTATAAATATTTTTGAAGAGTAAGTAGGCACTTATTTACAGGATATACAATAAATTTACATAAACCAGTCTAGGTGTTAGACCCTTACTCACCGCTTGACTAGCCCCTAACGTTTTAAAAAACCTTGACCATTGATCCAAGTTTTTATGTTATACAAGTTTTTAAGAACCCTATTGTAGGGCCAGGGTCATTGGAGCATGCCAAAGAGGAGGTTGAGTGCGAATTGTGGTGAAATGTTATGACCAAATTATCCGCATTGACAAGTAATTTTTAGTGGTTAAAGAGCTTTTGAGCACCGTTTCTTTAAACGAGAAATTCTCTCATGCACCTGTAGTTGTGCGCATGAGTTGGCATGACCCGACAATGCATCGCACCATATTAGGAGTATAATATGGTATAATTACGATACAAAATCTATATTAATCAATATGGTGGCATACCTTATCAATACACTGTCAATACGGGTCATATGCAAGCAACCCATGCCCTCACCCCGCGTGCGCTGGAGAGAATTTTTGTTCATTACAAATCAGTTTTAGAAAGCTAGTTTTACCCAGATCTCTGTAAAGGGTGGGAAGCATGAAAGGTAGTTGGATGGAGTGAGTAGATTGGAAGTGACAATATCGTCACTCTTGCTATAAGTAAATATTCAGCGAGACAAAGTGGCTTCAATGACAGAAGTAATACATATAACAACTTTATATACGTCGTATATATATATGATACATTTCAACATCTACATTCTATTCCCTTCATGTTCATGATTCTTCTTTGAATCTGATGCTACTTTATGATTTGAGCTATAACTTCCGAAAGAGGGATCTGATATAAGAACTGATCATGTCCCAAAGTGAGAACTTGGATGCAAAGAACCGAACGTTTACTGACTTTTTCGATCCATCTCTCACAAATTCCAAGTCCCTGGCAATGTTGTTCTGCGTACCTTCTGGGACATCAATCAAAGGCAATGCAACTAAACCCCGACCCTCCAGGTTTTTGATCCACCCGCGTAATAAGTAATTCACAACCTGCATTACGATGACAATAAGTCTTCTAAGAACGAAAAACAAGATAGGAATCATCAAACGGGAAATCCAAAAATCCAATCGAAAGTGCTCCAACGAAAAGCTGATAGCGAATATGGTTTATACATGCATTCTCTTCTTCAAAAAATCACACCAATCAACTTCGCTGAATCTCTCAACTTGGATGAATGAAATATCTATATATCTATTTTCATGATTCCAGTACAAGAAAAATTTACAAATAATTAACAAGAGTTACTCTTGCTGTGTAAGAAACTTTTACACAAAATCACAAAAAATACACAAGATTTACTTTCCTACTTTACTGACCTAAAATACACAAACTTTTAATGTGTATCCAAATTAAAGCATAGATAACAGCGATAATATATGCCAACTATTCCTGCAAAAGCAAATATTCAACATGCGTAAAAGGATAATTCTGTGCTAATTAGTGAAATGCTGCTTACCTCAGGAACTTCATCGTGAGGGCAGTGACCAGCTGGACTGATCTCGTAATATGGAGCTTCAGGCACTTGTTGCTTCACCTGAAGGCCCCAAATAGGTTTCACCCATGGATCTTCTTTTCCATACATAAGACAAATCGGTGTGTTGTTCATTTGACATCTACAGAAAAAATGTGCTGGTGCGTCTCACTTAACTTGGACCAGAAAAACGAAAGCACATACAAAATTGTCTTCATGCATATACGTTATAATGTCTACCTGGACAAAGCCTCCTTAAAGGATAATTTTCCTTGAGGAGCAAGCATAATTGAGGCCAATGATGCAGCAGCGGCTGGATGCTCTGATGTCTCAAGTATACGGGAAAATACTTTGTCAACGTTTGTTGAATGATCTGCATAAACTTGTTTGAGTACCTCCGCTATACTCTGAGGATCACTAATTTTTTGCCAACTGAAACCAATGAAGCAAGCTCAAACAGTTTTAACTCGATTGCTGGTAAATATGGAAAGATAATTGCAGCATCCATGCAAAGCTCCTAACTATGTCAAAGATGTTTTACAGCCTATCATTTACTGATCTAAAATATACTAAATTACAACCTGAATTGTAAAACATATCTTATAGAATTATGCCAGCTATAAGAACTTACAGTATTTCTGTGAGCTTTCTCACACTGGCAGGTAACGGAAATGATCCTGCCGATGGGAATATTTTTGCTAGTCTTGGAGATCTTATGGGATTAGGTAGAAATCCCCAGAAAGGAGTTGCATTCAGCAATGTAACACCTTTCACCAAATGAGGGTTACATGCGGCAAAATACAAAGCAACAAATCCTCCTAGCGAGTTCCCCGCAATATAGACAGGTTCACCAATTACCTGCAAGAAAAATGGTTGCATTTATATTGCTCATGAGTAGACAGTCAAGGAAGTGATGAAGAGAGCTACTTCTCATAAAGAAAAAACTAAAATTAGATGATATTCCCTGGCAGAAAAGTATTAAGTCATAGCAAACTCAAGCAAATGAACCATGTAAAATGCTCAAATTAGCATGAATACTAATGGAAAGAGAACAAAGGAAATAGACCAAGTTATCAAAAATGCTTCCCAAACTTTAACAAACAGAGGATCCATGAGCTACAATATCATTATTATCTACTAAAAGAACCTATAAATATGATTCTTTGTATCCATCAAATAATGGAACAAGGAAATAGATTTAATGCTATAGTGTACCTCTTCTATGAAGTAACGAACTTGATCCTGCCATAAATCAATAGAGTAGACAAGCTCGCTTGCCCATGGTTCGGTTTTTTCTCCAAAACCCCACGCTATATCTTGCCTGTCGGACATACCTTCTTCATTAATACGAGGGGCAGGGTCTTCAAATGGCAATGACCTACCCTGCCCAAGAAAATCAATTGCCCATACTCTAAAATCACGCCCCAAATCTTTCAGTTGCTTCTCATAGTGAAAAGAGCCAACCCCAAAACCAGGAAGAAACAATACTGGAGGGGATCCCAAGTTATCGCATCCAGCTTTCTCATAATGCACATTGAATTTGGGCTTCCATTCCCAAAAGCAACTACTTATTGGGGCACCAAATTCGCCTTTGGGTTCGTCAGGTAGACCAGGAATCAAAACCTTAGTAACAGATTCCCCCGTTTCTGAAACATTTGCATCCTCAGCCGTGCCAATTACATAGCCATCCGAGCTTCCACTAGATAAAATCGGACCAACATGCCTGAAGTTTTCACTGGTGTTGGGTAACCTAAAACCTCCCAGGCGATTTAGCTGCTTCAAGAAAGACTGATCTAAACTATGACAGTTCAACAACCTACTTCTGGAATCAAATCGAACACCATAAACTCTTTTTTTCCTAAAATCTGGGAGCCTGGATCGATGTAAATTTGAGCTTTTCTCGACTAATTTTGCCCTTAAACTTACAGCATCACAGCATGGTGCAGAACTGTAGGAGAGTATTTCCATAACCAGAAAATGTATTCTGCAAACATCAACCAGATCAACGATTCAGAAACGGCTTAACTTTACCCTCTATTCCACATAAGAAAAATACAGAAAACAAAAACTAGTAAGTTACAAATAATTTGCAAAATTAGGAAACAAAAAGCAATAAATCATGATATATACCTTGTGAAACTACAAGAAATTGAAGAACATAAAATCCCTATATTACAATTTCAAACAAAAGAGACCCCTTTTCATTTAACTGAATAATAGCACAGCAAAAACAATTAATATGAACAAAACTCACTGTTAATTTACCAATCCTAAAAAAAATTAACGCCTCAAAACAGCTAACTAAAAGATCAAGCAAAACTAGCTTTCCTTGGTAAAGAGAAATCGTAAAGAACAAAAATTTTCATATTTTTTTTATTTCGGGTTACCTTCAAAGTGAGCAGAGAAGTGTCATTAGAGTTGCGATGCAAAATATGCTCTGTCTTCTCCAACTATTAGGAGATTCGGCCAAAATCTATCGAGGGAGAGACAAAAGAGAGCGCGGTTGCTTAAACGCTTCTTCTTCCCTTTGAAGCCAAGTAAAATACGAGCTTTTAAATTGTTGTCCCATATCTTCGGGATATTTTTCAACGTGATCGGTACATGTATGCAAATAATAGGATATATGTGTTAAAATATTAATAATTTAAAAAGTAAAATTTTTATCACTTACATAAAAACATGTAATATACCACTTGTATTTTAGTTAAAATTAAAAATTTCTCTATATCTTCTCATGAATATAGGAAAGCTCACTTGCCAAAAAATAGTGTTCCCCTAACCCCTATTACGGTAATCATAAGCTGATGGTCTAATAATAAATGACTGATTATGAGACTTCTTTAAAACTAAAAATTAGAGGTCTTGGGTTCGAAACCTGATGCCTGTGGAAGCCAGACTTGTACCCAGACGGAGGTTGAAATGTCTTTATGAGTCTTCCCGGCCTACGGAATGAATGGATAACCGTGGTTTGCCATCAGTTGTCCCTTTTTTTTTTTTTTTTTTTTTTTTTTAAAAAGCCCCAATTAACGTATGTTTTTTCATACAAGTTTTATAGTCAAAATTGTGTAATTTTTTAATTTTTATTGAAGATTGTTTCTATAAAAATATTATTTAATTTGAAGATCGTTTAGTCATCTAAATATATGAAATAAATCGACAGTGTGAGTACCTAGTAACATATTCATAATGAATCGTCTATTTATTGGTTACATATATATGACTAAATGACATTTAATTTGAATAATATTTATGTAGAAATGATCTTCAAATGAAAAT